AGAGCCAAAGGGGGTGTTGTTGCGATGTGTCCCTGCGTTTAGGGGGCCGATGGAATTATTGCAGGAATGGTGGGGGGGTCGGGGGGGTCCTGCTCTGGCCCGGACGTGGGCGAACTTTTGCTCATCCTTCCTTCTTTGCCCCAAACGCTTGGAAGGAAACTTCCCCCTTCCGAAAAAAGTTCTCTCAACTCCCTCCGGCAGCTTCCTCCTCACTTCGCCGCCCTCTCGCCCCACAGGACGCTTCTGCGCCTCGGGCAGCCCCGCTCGGAGGGCGACCGGGGCCTCTTCCCTCCGCCCGCCCGCCTCCCCGCCCGCCCGCCTACCTGCCAGGCCCGGGAAGGGCTCCGGGAAGTGGAGGGTCGGCTCCGGCGGCCCTTTGTCCCGTCCCGGGGGCAGCTCGTCGCTCTCCACGCCGTCAGGCGCGCTCCGTCGACGGCAGGGCGGCTCTGCGTTGCCTCGTCCGGCGGCCGGCAGCTCCTGCGCCGGGTAGAAGCCGTCGGGGGGCTCGCCGAAGCTGGGCAGCGCGGTGGTGAGCGCCACCATGGACGGGACAGCTTGGCCGAGGCTGGCGCAGAAGGAGTTGGTGAGGCGGCCGGCGAAGGAGGCCAGAGGCGCCAGCGGAGGGAGGCCGGCGGCCGTCTGCAGGGGCCCGTGGGGGAGCACCAGCGGCCGGTAGGGCATGAACATGGGGTAGCCGGTGTAGAGCAGCGGGCCGGAGCGCGGCGCGGGCGGTGAGTGCCCGATCAGCGAGTCGATGGAGAAGGCGGCGCCCTGGCCGGTGGGTCTCTGCATGGCCGCGGCCCCCGACAGCTGCTAGCCGGGCTGCCCGGCCTGGGCCCCGCGGGGCGCCAGACTCTGCGCGGGTCGGAGGGGCGCCGGACGCGCCGTCGGTCCAGCCCGGCCACAGGCACTTTGTCCGTCGGCGCGCGCGGCGCAGGTCGTGGCAGGAGACGACGTTGCCTGCTTTGGCTTCCTGCCTTCGAAGGCGCCTCCTCCGCTGCCGCCCACGAGCCGCGCTGCGCTCCCCTCCGCTCCTGGCCCCGCCGCCGCCGCGCTGCCTCTGCTCGCCTCTGCCGCGCCTGGCGCTGGGCTGGCGCTTTCTGCCGAGAGAGGGAGAAGGCGGGCGAGAGAGAGGGAGGAGGGGAGGAGATGGCAGGGGAGGGGGAAAGGGGTGTCGCCCTGCCTCGGGGCTCATCCATCTTCCTCAAATTCCGCTTGAGTTCCCCCCAGCGCCGCCCGCCCAACGGCCGGGCCAGGGAGCGCCGGCGGGTTCCCACTGGAGAGGCCGAGGGGGGCCCCTGGGAAGGCGCCGCCCCCTCCCGCCTCATCAGCCATTATGGCTGGTGATTGATGATTGCCAATTACCGGCCGGGCGCACAAGGGCCTTTTGTCGGGTGGGGCGGGACCAGCTGCTCCGCGGGGAGGAGGGGAGAGGGGGCGGGGAGCTCAGACCCGGACGGGACCAGGGACGCCCCGTCGTCTCTTGGCCCGCTGAGCCGCCCAGAGCCTGGACAGGAGCCGCGCGGGAGGTCGGGGCGCGGGCCATGGGATGGGACCCCCGCGTCCGTGGGGCGCCAAGGAGCCAGGAGGGGCCCGACGGGGTTGATTCCTCCGACAGGACCTTTTGCTGCTCCTCCCTCCGCCGGCGCCCATTGCGGGGGGCGAGAACCCGAGGTCAAAGGCGCCGGTTGGGCCGGGCATCGCCCTCTCTTGCTCAGGAATGTAGGACCCCCAAAAGCTCCGACGGCTCTTTTTTGGGCTGAGACCCTTCGCAGCCCGCTCTCCGCTCAAAACAAAACTCCTCTCGAAGAAGCGGGGCGGCCTGGTGGAGATGCCGAAGCCTCCCCGGCGGGATTGTGGGGGGTGGTTGGAGAGGAGGGGGGGCTCCTGTGGGGTCACTTCCCGACCCCTCCTGAAACCCAACCCCTTTTCCAGTGGAACGAACTCCCACCGGAGGTGGTGGAATCTCCTTCCCTGGAGATTCTTAAGCAGAGGTTGGATGGACACCTGTCATGGAGCTGAGATTCCTGCACTGCAGGGGGTGGACTGGATGACCCTTGGGGTCCCTTCCAACTCTAAGATTCTATGACATTTTGTGTGTGTGTGTCCCCCACCCACCGTTTTGCTCAAGAGAGGGTCGCCCAACGACGGCTTTGCAAAGAGGCACTCTGGACAGGGGTTCTGAATTCCGGGGTGGGGGGCACCCAGAGATTCCTGCTCGACCTAGTGGCGGCTTCGCTCTGGGCTCCCACAGGATCTCGTTCTCGCCCCCCGCCTGTTTCACACACGCATGAACCGGCAGGGAAAGATCCTGAGAACCTCTAGCGCCCCTTCGCTCTGGGCTCCGGCTGCACGCCAGTTCTAATGCCTGACCCTTTCTGCCTCATTCAAGGGAGTGAAGGGGGCAAGTTTTCTGATGATATTAAATCGCTCAGGTTCATTGAAACAATGGGAGAACTCCAAAAAGACCTTTTCAAACTGAGTGAATGGGCAATAAAATGGCAGATGCAATTCCACGTACACAAGTGTAAAGTGATGCATCTTGCTGGAAATATTATTATTATTACACCTACAAGCTCATGAGGTCTGAACTGGGGGTGACGGACCAGGAACAAGACTTCGGGGTCCTAGCGGGCTGCTCTATTAAGATGTGGACCCAGTGTGTGGCGGCAGTGAAAAAGGAAATCATTCCGTGGGATCTAGGGATCATTAGGGAAGGAATGGAAAATGGACGGTGTCATAAGGCCCTTGTACCATTTTATGGTGCGACCGTATTTGGAGTCCTGCGCACAGTTCTGATCACCTCCCCTCAGAAGGGATAGTGTAGAAGAAAGAGGAACTGAGAGGATCAAGGGCGTGCGGCGGGGGAGGGGCAGCTCCCCTATAAGGCTGCAGCATTTGGGACTTTTTAGTTTAGGGAAAAGGCAAGAGAGAGCGGCGACTCAATAGAATTTTATAAAATTGCGCGTGGCGTGGAGAGAATGCACAGATAAAAGTTGCTCTCCCTCCCTCATAACTCGTGGGCATTCAGTGAAGCTGAATAATGGAAGATTCAGGACAGACAAAAGAAAGGGATTACTCAGGCAGAGCAGAGTTAACCTGCGGAACTTCCTCCCGCAGGACGGCCACCAATCTAGATGGCTTCAAAAGAGGATGAGAGAGATTCATGGCCGCTATTCTGTCAGAGACAGTCAAACTTCTGGATACCAGTTGCTGGAAATCACAGGACGGGAGAAGGCTCTTGGGCTCGGATCCTGATTGTGGGTCCACATCCCTCCGTGGGTGGTTTTCTGCTGGAGGGTGCCCTCAGCCTTACTCGAGAGTAAGTTGACTGCTCCTATTGAGATTAGGGCTCGTGGCAGGGCCGGGGAGAGAGCTGTCGCCATGTTCAGGAAGCTGAACAAGGGTGCGGTGGGGGGGTCTTCATAGAATCCTAGAAATGAAGAGTTGCAAGGGACCCAGGGGTCATCCAGTCGATCCCCCTGCAATGCAGAAATAATCTCAACTAAAGCATCCGTGACAGGTGGCCATCCAGCCTCTGCCACATGGAGGGCTTCCCAAAGGCAGCTTGTGCACTTAACAAAATTGTCGTTTGGAGTTCAGGGAGAGGTGAGCGACCATGCAGACCTTTGCCGCCTACAGCAGCCACATTTGCAGATCCACGTCTGCTCAGGTGAGCCTTTGTGAGTTCTGGACCCGCGATGTGGACGCAGCCACGCCCTGGAGGAGATTTCATTTAACCAGCTGAAGCTCCCTTCAGACGAAGGGAGGCCAGGTCGTCCGCGGCTGGTTCATCGCCCTCTCCAATGAGAGGTGTTCAAACCAATGTGTGCGTTGGGGGTGTTTGAAGTTTGGGTGCGCATGCTGCCCCACCATTATCCCTCCAGGTCCCAGGGGTCTCAGGGGCTGGGAGGCCCCCCGAACAGCCTTAGACTGACGCGCCAACCGCGACCATAACAGGACGGAGGTCGCTTGGCCACCGTCGCTTCATGTTCTGGCAAGGATCCTTCTCCGCCATTTAGATTATTGCAGCACGTTGGAAGCGCGGTCTGCCTTTGGAAGCGGCCTGAAAACTACGCCTGGTGCCCTGGTCCAAGACAGGACCGCGAGGCTGCTAACTGGGACGACGCCAGTCAGACAGTCGTCGCTGCGTCACCTGCGTGGCTCGCGGTTCCTCTCGAGGCTCAGTGAAGGGGATGGTCTGGTCTCCACCTTTAAAGCTCCGGGTGGTCCTAGAGCTGCCCAAACCTTGTGATCTTCTGCCCGTGTGGCCCCTTGCTCTGGCCGGGCGGTCCTTTGCCCCGTGGAAGGAGGCAAGGGGCGAGAAGAGTGGGGCAGTGCACGCGCACGCGCGCACCCTAGTTGTGGGCATGGGCTGCTCTCTCCACACGGCGCTTTCTTTAAGGTAATTTCGGCGCCCGGAAGACTTTTATATATATATAAAGAAAGATTCAGGCTTTTCAAATATTCTGTTACCCAATATTTTGAACCACCGTTTGTGTATTTTTAGTTATCCTGTAAAACTGGCTTTATTGCCCTTTTCTGGAATGGTTGTATGCTGCGAATTATTATTTTATTGCGGCTCTAACTGTACTTTATGCTGTTAGTTGACCAGAGAAAATCAGCTGGCATGAGAAGCTCCCTCATCCCAGGTCAGACGATTTAGCAACCCGCCTCTTCAGACCACAGGGGTCCCTCTACTCATTTCATTTCCCTGAGGCGGGCAGATGCAAACAGAGGAGACCATCAGGACTCAGGAGATGTGCGAGGAAGAGGGAAACTGCAGCCGGTGCAGCTTGCGTGACACCCTCCACCTGGCGATTCAACCTGTGGCGTGTTTGTAAAGGCTCATAGTCCACAACCCCCAAGCCAGGCCCCCAGTACAGTCCAATAATGCTCAGCCACAGATACACTCCTCCCGACCCGAAGGACAGGATCAATCACTGCTTATATTCAACTTATAAAACACATTGAAGGATTTTCAGTCAGCTGAAATGCAACATTTAACGTTTAATTAGAAATGCAAACAGTGCCCTCATTCATGACCACCCTTCAAAGCGGGGTGTTTTGGGGGGCGGCGGGGGGGGTGTCCCTTCAGTTATTCTGGCGCTCCGGTGAATGACGTCATCGCTCCGGCTGGGAGCAGAGTCCTGGAGCTGCGCCCCCTGGCGTCGCCCCTTCGGGGAGCCTCACCTTTCGGGAGGCGGCTCAGAAGCCCCCGTGGGTCCGGTGGCGCTTCTGCCGCCTGAGAGGAGGCAACCCTGCAATTGGGGAGGAGAGGGGACGACGGGGGAAATAATTATTGCAAGCGGAGCAATGGAGAGACGTGAGAAAGCGCATCTCAAGAACGCGAATCTGCGGCTGGTGCTCAAATCAACGTATTAGCCACAGTATTGGTCTAAGCCAATTTAATACACGCGAGGGGGCCACGCAGCGCTCCTTAGCGAAGCCCCCGCCCGCGGCCCAGGAAGCCTCCCGGTTCCTGAGCCCAAAACGGCGTTGGCAAGTTGGACTTCTGGAAAAGTTTCCCGGCAGTTTAGTTCGGGCATTGCGCTGCCTCCAGCGCCCTCTGCCGGTGGCCTGGAGCAGCTGCAGGCGGTTGCCTCGGTCGCCTGGGCTGCCCGCTTCGACGGGACGGACCCGCAAGGAGCCTTTGCGCTGGGGGAGCGGACTCCAGCCCCACCCGCTGACCCACCCCGAGGCTTCAGCTGCTGCGCACCTCGGAGTGCGCCTGCCCCCGCCTCCTGACTTCCGGGAGTGAGCCAGCCTGCCCCTCTCCCCGCCTAGTACAGGACGTCTTCGAAACGGAGCAGCACGAAGTCGCGCAAGGCCGGCGGCAGGGGCAGCTCCGGCAGGGCGCGGATCAGGCGGTCCTCGAGGTGGTTCCGGATCGCGCAGCGCGCCAAGTGCTGCAGGGCGCGCGGACCCCGGCCCAGGGCGAAGAGCGACTGGAAGAGGCGCGGGTGTTGCTGCCAAGAGAGAAGCGGAGAGGCGGTCAGAAAGGGGGGGGGCGCTGGACTGAGCCGCGCAGGGGAGGGGGGCTCCCCCCAGGGTCCTCCTTTGCGCACTTGCCACCGTCCAGCAAGGGCTGGGCAAGGAAAGCCTGCGGGAGCACCAGGGCCCTTCGTAGCGGGGACAGCAAGAGCGCAGCGGCCTGGAGGAATCTCGCGGTGTTTGAGGAGCACGGGCCCCGTCGAGCCACTCTTGCTGTTGCGCCCCACCACAGGATCCCGCGCACTTACCTGCACCAGCTCGGCGGGCACAGCCTCGGCCCAATCCTCCGTGACGGGCACGCGCGGGTAACAGTTGATGAGGGCCTCGACAGTGCGCGGGGAGGCGCAGCAGTGGCGCAAGACCTGCGACGGGAGGGTCGAAGGGAGGCAGCAGTCAGAGGCCCACGCCAGAGCCCGACAGCGCAAGGAGGCCCCGCCGAGGCGCGCGAGGCAGTCGCTCCTTTGCGCTGCGCACTTTTGCTCTTATAGACTCGGTAAACATAGGAGAGCAGCGTGACCCATCCCATCTAGAGCCCCCTGACTGGGAGCCGCCGCCCCCCCCCCCGGCAGCCAGGTAGCCTTCTGAAGTCAGAAGATGCTCCCGATAGAGTCGCTGCCAGCCAGTGTAGGTGATGCTGTACTAGATGGAGCAAAGGACGGCTTCCTCGATTTCTCCATCCCAGTCGCTGCCGGGTCCTGCTCTGTCTTCTGGTCGCAGCAGGGCCTCGACGGGAACGGCCCCATTAGGTGAGCTGAAACCCCGGGCGTAACGACCTAGGCGCCCATGTCCGTTACTTCAGTAGCAATGCAGGCAATGTGCATTTAGCTTTCCTCGCCCCCGCCCTGCGAATTATGTTTTCCAAGGGCTTGTGTTTTACTGAAGCGTCACAGCTCCTTCTGTTTGCTGTCCCGGGGCCCCTCTGCTGCTTTCTGGGCGGTCATTTTGGGGGGCCCTGGGCTGGCGGGCGTTGTGCTTCCGCCCCAGGTCCACCCCTCGCTGCTGCGCTAGTCCCCAGGCCAAATCCCACGTCGGGGGTCTCATGGCCCGGCACCTCCCTGGGGTTCAGGCGCCCCTTAGCCGGGGCTTCCCTCTCTCTGGGACTGGACTGAAGCAGCGCCTGAGCCGGCTGCACGGAGCAGCTCCATCCTCATTATCTGGTGTTAATAGGAGATTAATTAGTGTTAATTGTTGATTTTCCTGCATTTTCCCAAAGGGGAGAGCAATCTGCCAAGCCTGGGAATTAAGACAGATGGTTAACCCGTTGCGCGGGGAGGTGGCCGAGATCAGGTGCAGGGGCTGCCGGGGGCTCTGCCCGGAGAGGGGAGAAGAGAGGCTCGTTCCCTCCCCACAACACCCCTTTCGCCGCCCCCCCCCCCAGCAGAGGGTACTGGGCATTTCCTGCAACTCCCAGGAGCAGGCGGAGGGCGGGGTCCTTCGGGGCTCACAAGCACAACCCTGGAGGGGGACCCAGTGGCAGGCCGTCCCGCAGGCGCTCTTAGGCGCTCTGGAGCTCCGGCTTCACTCAGCTGCTGGTCTCAAAGCGACGGAAGCGCCGTAATTATAACGGCCGGCGGCTGCAATTTCTGCCGGCCTCTGAAAGGTCTTGCAAGGACTGTTTTGCTTGCAACCTGAGGCAGCATTCGGCGCTCGTTTTCTGCAAGCGGCCCCGTGGGGCCTTTGCTCGGGCAACTCTTTCAGCCTCAATGAGACTGGCCTGACACAGCAAGCTCTCACGTTCTTAAACCCGTTTGCGGGGTTCTGGGGTGCCAACTTGGGGGTGTGTATGATTGGGCAGGTAAGTCCCGCCCTGCATAATCGATCATATGAAGTGGTGCACGCACACCATTTGAATGGCAATGCCCACCAACTTGGAGGGGGCATTTATGGGGGGGGGCTGAAGCCCCCTCGGCCCCTAGGAGTTGGTTCCTATGGCGGGACTCCAGCAAGACTTCAGCCCTTTCCGAGGAGGCCACGGCGCAGGTGCCAAACCAGGCAGGTGAGGTCAGGTGAGGCGCATGCAGTGCCCTGGACAGTCCCGGCGCCTTCCTCGCCTCTGCCGCTCCCATAGCAGACAGAGGAGCCGTAGACTTGTGGGGCTGACAGCCAGCCAGCCTCTCCCCGCCCCCGCCCCGGGCCCCCAGGACCTGAGGCGCCCCTGACCCTTCTCACCCCGCGCGCACCTTGAGGAGGGCTCCGGGCCAGACGCGGACGGCGCCGTGGTTGAGCAGGTCTCGCACCACCAGCTCGGGCCGGTGCTCCAGCTTGTAGGCGGCCACCTGGAGGATGTTGTGCAGCGCCGTGTTGCCGCTGTAGCTCATGATGTTGACGTTGGCGCCGCGGGCGAGGAGCAGCGCCACCACGCGGGGGTTGGCGGCCTTGCAGGCCTGGTGCAGCGGCCGCTGCCGGTCCGCGTCGGGGGCGTCCACGCTGGCGCCCGCCTCCACCAGCTGCCGGCACACCTCGTAGCAGTCGCCCAGCGCCTCCGGAGGGTGCGCCTGGGCGCAGGCGGCGTTCAGCGGGGTCTGCCCCTCGGCGTTGCGCGCCTCCAGGCTGGCGCCGTAGCTCAGGAAGAGGCGCACGTGGCCCGCCAGGCCCAGCCGCGCCGCCAGGTGAAGCGGCGTGTCCTCCTCCTCCTCCGAGACGCAGTTCACCCGCGCCCCGTGGCACAGCAGCAGCCGAGCGCACCTGCGCGGGGAGAAGCAGCAGAGGGGTCGCCCGGCGCCTTCCTGGGTCCCCCCGCCCCCAGGCCTGTGTCCGGGCTCTGCTCCCCCAGGCTCTACTCGGGCAGCCTCTGAGCTCTCCCGGCCGCGGCCAAGCCTGGCTCTTGGGTGCCCCAAAGGGTTGTGGGTTTTCAAACTTGCCCTAGACTAGGGGCTTGTTTTGCTCTGTTATAGGCCGGCCTTAGGAAAGTTCAGGGCGGCTCACATGAAGCAAGAGGCCTAAAAGTTTGGCATGCTGCTCAGCTTGGCCTGAAGGCGTGAGAAAGAGGAGCCGGCAAAAGGCCCTTCTTCGCTTCCTCGCGTTTCCTTCCTGGCCTGACTCTGAATGCAAGTTGCTGGAAGGAAACAACCCGGTGGGATGGAGAGTTGTGTTCGGATCCTGCTCGGGTGCTTCCCAACAGAGGCATCTGCTTGGGCACAGCGAGATGGGTCACTGGCCTGATCCAGAGCCGGGCGGCTCTCGCGTTCTTGCGTGGGACCTTCCTTCCGGCTAGGGCTGGTACTTCCTGCCGGGAGGAGACATCTCAATTCGGATGTCTCTCCATCGCAGAGACAAGCGCCGCTCTGAATCCTCTTTAGTCCTAGTATCAAGTGTGCATTTCCTGCAATAAATGGAGTTTTCTCCGCCTCCCCATTAATCTGTTTGATTTTATCCTGGGTAAAGTGTGCGCCTCCAACAGCTAACCTGTGGTCAGTTTCTCTCTCTCTCTCTCTCTCTCTCTCTCTCTCTCTCTCTCTCTCTCTCCTAGCTTCCAACTTCTCCTCCAATAATTTGTCTACTCTTCTTTTGAAGCCATCCAAGTTGGTGGCCATCCCTGCCTCCTGGGGGAGGGAGTTCCGTAGGCTAACTACGCGCTGCCGCCGGACGAATGACTTTCTTTAGGCTCTCCTGAACCGTCCAACATGTGGCTTCGCTGGATGCCCCTGAGTTCGTGTTATGAGATGGGGACAAAAACTTTACGCGCTTTCCCCATGCTACGCATAATTTTATAAACCGCTATCTTGTCCCCTCTTACTTGCACTTTCTCTAAAGTAAAACGCCCCAAATGCGGCCACTTTCCCCCAGAGGGGAGTCGCTCGTTCCCTCGATCATTCTGGTGCCCGTTTTCTTGAAAGGGCACCGAATTGTTAATTAATCATTATTACTGTGGCCTTTTTTTTCAGACAGGGAGAGGCGCTTGTGGGATTCTCCGTTTCCTGTATTCGGGCACCCTGCAGCTCAGGGAGAAAAATTGGGGTCGGGCGGCAGCTACGGGCATTTCCCCCGTTTGGGTCCAGGGGGGCGCCCTCTGCCGATTGTTTTGCTTCCAGGACCCCAGGACTGACCTTCCTCTGGGAAGCCAGGAGAGGACGGCTGTGTTCCCCACCCCACGCGGCCCTTCTCCCCTGCCCGAAGCCCAGGGCCAAGCGAGGGGCGCCTCTTCCAGGCCACGCGCCCCAGGAGTCGCCCCGTCGGGGCTGTGCCACTCACTCGAGGGAGGCGGGGCTCCGGCACAGGTGAAGCGGCTGGAGCCCTCCTTCCGAGACGGCCAGGGGGTCAGCGCCGAAGGAGAGCAGGAGCCGCACGCAGTCCGTCGTGGCCGCCGCGCACGCCTCGTGCAGCGCAGTCCGGCCGCCCGGCGCCAGGTCCACGTCCGCCCCGCGGAGCAGCAAGTGGCGCAGGCACTCCAGGTAGCCGCGGCTGGCCGTGATGTGCAGCGGGGTGGTCAGCTCCTGCTCGTAGGTCAGCGACCAGAGCCCTGTGGAAGGGAGGAGAGACGCGGGGTCAGGAAGGGCCGTGCGGCGGACACAAGGGCGCTTTGCACGTGCTCAGGCGCACGATGGCGCGCGGAAAGCAGGCTCCAATGGAAGCCTGCAAGCGCGAGAAGGGCGCAGGAGCGATCCCCAAGCTCTGCGGCAGGTTTTCCTTGGGGGCAGCAAGGCGCTTTTCCTACACCCGCCTCTCCCCCACCCCCGTTGATCTCTGGGCGCACTCAACCAGCGGGAGTTGAATCGGTAGTTCTTCCACTCGTCCTGGTCGCTGGTGTCGAAGACGGTGTTGGGGCCCACTCCGCTTTCGGGGTCGCCCAGGAGGCAGAGGATGGCGCATCCATCGCCCGCCAAGAGCGCCTGCCAGAAGGCCTGCGCCGGGCCCTCGGCCTTGCGCGTGGAGATGGGCTCCATGGCCCCGGCGGACGGGACCCTCGGGGCTTCTCCGGCGGGACAGAGGCTGCAGCTGGGCTGCCCGGGACGGAGGGCTGCGTGCCCGGGTGTCAAGTCGCAGCCCGAGCTATTCTGGGGCTCCCTTGTGACTCAGCAGCAGCGCCGGTGCAAAGGGGAAGCACCGCGCCAGAAACTGGGAGCGGGGCGAGGGGAGAAGGCAGGTGATCTCCACGTGCTTAGCGAGATGGGCTGCGGAACGCCCCCGCTCGGTCCCACCAGACCAGCCCTGTGGGCCCTGGCACGATCCACCTGGGCCGGTGGTGGCGGCCTACCTGGGAGGGTTGTTTGGACAAGGAAGGCCCCCGTCTGCAAAGGGGGAAGGGCCGCAGAAGCAGGTCACGTGGCAAGCCCCAGCTGGCGGGGAGGGTCAGCAGCATGTGAGGCGCGCGCCCGGCCGCGGGAGGAACAGGCCGGAGGTGGGAGCGCTCTCCGCGCCTTAACTTGGAAGCAGACCTTCCGCCCTTCTGCCAGGCAGCAGCTCCCCACGACAGAGGCCGTAAGCGGGACACGCCCCCGGGGGGGGCAGCAACTGGTCTCCTTCAGAGGCCCCCTGCCTCTGGTCCTGGAGCGCCGAAAGGATGATTAGCCTCTGCCAACTTGTCTAATCCCCTTTTAAAGAATGCTTTAGTTGAGATTCCTGCATTGCAGGGGGTCGGACTAGATGACCCTCAGGGTCCCTTCCAACTCTCCACCTCTAGGATCTATAAAGCCGCTTAAAATGAGGGATCACCACAATCTGTAGCTGCAAAGCTGTGGCTTGAACGGCCTTTTGCTCCCAGTCTCCCTCCCACCCATTCGGCCCCTTCCCCCTTCTAAAAACGTTGTAACCTTTCTGCAAGCACAACTTTCATAATCCCCGTTTGGTTTTGCCAATTTTAAAGTAGGCAGGGAGAGACAGCGGTTGGTTTTTTTGCTTGTTTCCTTTTAAAGTGACAGTATAAAAGAGAGTGGTCAGTTCTTGTTACGTTTCCAAAATAAAGGTTTGTTTGTGAAGAATCATTTTTAACTGACAAACAACATATTTTAAAGGGGAAAAAACCTATTCCCTACATTGCATCATCATACTGAATAAACTGCCAGATGGGTGGGGTATAAATAATAAATTATTATTACTAATAATATAATAATAATAATATATAAACTCTATGTGTGTGGGAGTTTCAAAAGTGTCAAGGATAAACAAAGCATTTTATAAAGGGTCTCATTACCTTCCTCTCCTGGGGGGAGGGGAGCGGTCTGGAGGCGGCAGTGTCCACCCCTCCCTTTGCCCCTGGATTGCAAACCAGCCATCTATCATGTTTCCTGGGCCACTTCCTGTGGGGGACTTGCCCCTTCTCCCTACAGCCCCATCACTCTTGCTCCTTGGGGTGCTCAGGCTGGAGAACACGAGACTCTTAACCTTGGTCCTGGGTTCGAGTCCCCTGTTGGGCAAAAGATGGGGGTTGGACTAAATGAGTCCTGTGGTCCCTTTCCAATTCTACAGGGATCATTAGCTCCTTCGGCCTACACTTCTCAATTGAGCGGCCTAATAGAACCATAGAAAAGGGACCCCCCAGGGCACATGGACCCCCATGCTCCAAGCCACCTTGCTCCCCGCCTTCCACAGCTTCCCTTACCCCATTTCTGGCTGGTCCAGCGCAGATCTTGGCTCTTGGAGTGGATGACCAGGTTGACCTCGGCGCGCTCTGAGAAGTGCCTCTGCACCCCGTCCAGGTCCCCCGTGTAGAGGGCGTTCTGGACCACCATGTCCCTGCACTCTGAGGGCGGCTCTTTGTAGGTCCTCCTGCCCCAGGAGGCCACTGGGCCTTGGCAGGAGACGTGGCTCTTGGCACCCTCCCACCTCCATCTCAGCTCCGCATCCAGCCCCAAGGAACGCCACCTGGAGGCCCTGGAGGAGGAAGACGAGGAGGGGAGGGACCTTGACATGAGCTTCCTCTGAGAGAGACGGCTCTCCTTCAGCGCCTTCGACTGCTGGCAGCGGAGACAGCGGCTGGGGGTCTTCTGCCCTTGGAGAGCTGTGTGCTTGCAGGACCCAGGCCTGACTCAGGGCTTATAAATAGTCCTCTTGGCAGACACTGCCTGCCTGCCTGCTGCTTCTGGCTTCTTTTATCATCAGCTCCCAAAATACATTTCAGCACTTGAGCCAAGGGAGGTGTTCTGTGGCAGACCTGGGGAGATTCCGAATGTTTGCAAGCATGTGCAGAGTGCCTTCCCGAAAGTTCCCCGCACATTTTTCTTCAGCTCACAAAAAGCAAACCCAATTCTGGGCAATAAGGCCCCTTTCCAAAGTGAGGAAAATGCTCACCCTGGAGGCAGACAGTGAGGGAATGGTCATCCTCTGAGATTTCCACCCAAAGTGCCTTTGAGGAGCTGCAAATCTCCTTCCACGCACAACTTATTTTAGGATAATCTTTGAAAACAATTATGACCTCCAAGGATGCTTAGGCAGACTTGAATGACCTTCTCCCTTTTTATGTTTCCCTCTTAACCAAGAAATCGCTCTCATTCCGTTTAAGTAAACAATAAAAATATAAGGTTTACTCGCCTCAAAAGTATTGCCAGGATTCAACAAATACAGGGATGAAATCAGGCAGCCAATGCGCCTGCAATGCGCTCTACGTGGGGCTACCTTTGAAGGTGACCCAGAAACTACAACTAATCCAGAATGCAGCAGCCAGACTGGGAGTGGCCACCAAGACCACATAACACCGGCTCTGAAAAAACTACATTGGCTCCCAGTACGTTTCCGATCACAATTCAAAGTGGTGTTGGTTCTGAGCTTTAAAGCACTAAACGGCCTCAGCCCAGTATACCTGAAGGAGTGTCTCCGTCCCCATCGTTCAGCTCAGACACTGAGATCCAGCTCCGAGGGCCTTCTGGTGGTTCCCTCCCTGCGAGAAGTGAGGTTACAGGGAACCAGGCAGAGGGCCTTCTCAGTAGTGGCATCCGCCCTGTGGAACGCCCTCCCATCAGTTGTCAAGGAAATAAGCAACTATCTGACTTTTAGAAGACATCTGAAGGCAGCCCTATTTAGGGAAGTTTTTAATGTTTGATGTTTTGTTGTGCTTATAATTTTCTGTTGGGAGCCGCCCAGCGTGGTGGGGGCAACCCAGCCAGATGGGTGGGGTATAAATAATAAATTTATTATTAATAATTATCAGCATCAGCATCAGCATCATTCTCTTAGGGACCTGCCATCTCCTTCTGCCGAGGGTGGGGGTCCTCAGATACAAAGGAAACCACTGAGTCTGTGTTCTATTTAAGGACATCCATGTCTTTTATTTCCAATCAAGCACACAACAGATTGAAGCAAGAGGACACCCAGAGCTCCAGGCAGGACAATTCTGCAAAGTTTTTTGGCAGGCGCTTCGGCTGGTGCCCTTTAACACACTCCCAATCCCTCCCCCCTTCGTTCCACTAGCACTGCTGCACTTTCCTCAAAAGTTCCCCCAACATTTCAGGCTCCCTTTTTGAAAAGTGGCACAACTGCTTCTCCAGCCTGGGGGCAAGAGGTTGGCAGTTTGGGTGCGACTCAGTTTGCAGAAGAGGCCTGTTAAGAGTGAGTGAGTTAGGGGCCTCCAGACAATCCCTGTATCTTCAACCTCTTAGGCTGACCCTCTTTCTCTCTCTCTCTATCTCTCAGGGCCACCAGATCAGCTGGTTAGGCTAGTCCCAGAAACTTCCTTCTCCAAATTGGCTTATTACATTTCTATCCCACCTTTCCCTCCAGGGACCTGAAGGTGGCACACATGGCTCTCCCCCTCCTCATTTAATCCCCACAACAACCCTTTGAGGTAGGTTAGGCTGAGTGACTCGCCCAGGGTCAGCCAGTGAGCTTCATGTTTTACTGGGGGGGGTTGATCCCTGCTCTCTCCTGTGCCCTAGTCCAGTGCTCTAACCACTACACCACACTGCAACAAGCAACTTGGTTGTTTTCTCACTCTATGATTATAGCTTCTCTCTGCATGCGGCTGCGACAAGTCAAGTCAAGAGCCACTCGCCTTCTGGCTTGCTCCAAGGAGGGCACAAGACTCTGAATCTCAGGGTGGTGGGTCCAAACCCCACTGGGCAAGAGAGTCCTGCATTGCAGGGGGCTGGACTAGATGACCCTCAAGGTCCCTTCCAACTCTACCATTCCAAGATTCTGTGTTCTACTTGAGGAGGAGGACCTGCTCTCTGTAGGCAGCCCCCTCCCCCCCCCTGCTTGACCCCAAACGGCATCACAATACACAGTACTTCAACCCCCCAGACAGTTTTGCCACTTCCCCCCTGCAGAGCCAATTTCTCAGAGAACAAGACCGGTGCCTCCCCAGCCCCCAGGAGATGGCTAAGTGCTTAGGCTGCGCACCGGATCCAGCCAGATTCCAGAGCACAAACTGAGTGGGGCAGTTTCAGGCTGATTTGCCTGGGTGGGGCTGCGGCAGCCCCAGATTGCCCTGTGCCTGACTCCCCATTTAATCAATGGAATTGGAAGGTCCCGAAACTAGGGCAGGGGCCGGGTGTGGCTCAAGGGTCAGCCCCAGATCACTCTCCTGGGGGGCAGGGGGCTGCCCAGTGCTATTTCACGTAGCTTCCAAATCAGTCTGGCCTGAGCTAGGATGAAGAGCAGCTCCAGCCCTGGGGTCCTGCAGGCCTAACTCTGGAGAGGTCCAAGGCCAGGGAGATGTATCAGACCTGACCTCCCGGTGTAGGGCAGCCCCTGTCCCTCAAGCTCCCTGAACTGACGCCCCTTGGCCTCCAGGACTCCTTGTGGTCAGTAGGCCCAGTTCACCGCTTTGGACCATGAAGCCCACCTGCCCAGAAGCAAGCCAGTCCTCCTGTGGGCTGAGTCCCCTACCAATGATAGGTTGTCCAGGCCTCATCCTGCACCCATACGTGTCTCCCATGGCCCCTGCGCACACTGTCCTGCCTTGGGAGGTTTTTAAGCAGAGGCTGGATGGCCACCTGTCATGGATGCTTCAGTTGAGATTCCTGCATGACAGGGGTTGGACTAGATGTGCTTTGGGGGACCCTTCCAATGCCACGATTCCATGATTCCCGGGAGCACACCTAGGGGTCGCAGACACCCACTTCCCCACACACGTGCACCATGCCAGCATTTGCACGTAACTCATTTATGCTGCAGCTGCAAAGTGTCTGCTTCCCCCTCCCCTCCCCTCTCCCCTCCTATTTCTTCTTCTTCTTCTTCTTGTCTTTCGCATCGGCTGCCCTGAGCTTCTCCTGTTCGGCCAGCATCTTCTTCTTGCCCAGGGGGGTCTTGCTGTACCAATCCTGCAGGAGGAGGCCCAGAAGGCGGGAAACTTTCAGGAAAAGGGACCCTGCCCAAGGGGGTGAGGGAAGGCGGGGCTCAGAGAAAGAGCAGGTGGAACAATAGCTCAGTGGGTTAGAGGCTGGTGCTGCTAAGGCCAAGGCTGCAGGTTCGATCCCAGCTGCCTATTCCTGCCTTGCAGGGGGCTGGGCCCAACTCTACACACTATTTGTTAAGATGCTCTTTATATACATCCCCTAGACCAGGCATGTCCAAAGTCCATTTTGGGGGTCTAATCCGGCCTGCTGGTCAATTTAATCCCGCCACTGTGGCAGTTTATTTCCTGGGGTAAAATCCTAAAAAAACCGTTTGGCCACCACTGCGCCTAGACAAAAATTACTTGATTACATCCTTTGCTCTCTCTCCAGCCAACCTCCCCTTGAGCAAATCTCTATTTTGCTGGCTGGCAATAATGTATTTCGTACTGCACAGGCTCTAAAATTTGCCTTGGCTGCAAGTAAGTTGAGCGCTAGGCACCAAGGCAAGTATCACAAGGGCGAGTGTGAGACGTGGGGAGCTTAACTTATGCAGGTGTGATTTTCGCATTTCTCTGTGTTTGCTTTGCTGCTGTTCCATTTTAAATTAATTATTTGTATTTTAGGCACTGCGACCAATTGCGACAGCTTATAGCTTTTAGCAATAAATATTTCATTCAATTCCATGTTTCTGGGTTTCAGGCCCAATGCTTGTGGGATATTTAAAACCAGGGGTGCCAACTTGAATAAAATATTGCGGGGGGGGGGGGGAGAGAGATAAGCACTGCCCTACATAATCAATCACATGACATGGTGCATGCACACCATTTGAATGGCAATGCCCATCAACTTTGGGGGGTCCCGGCCCCCTCAAATATTTCATTGGGGTGTGTGAAGACCCCTCAGCCCTCAGGAGTTGGCTCCTGTGTTTAAAACGCAGTCACAGCAACAAGTCTTGTTTTGCTAGATAGGAGCTGAAGCTCATAGAGTTTCCCTGTAAACTTGCTAGAGAGAGCTCTGTGAGAGACACACACCCCCACTTTGCCCTGACAGGGGGAGCACAGAGCTATATACTCTCCTACCTGCCTGGGCTCCCTCTCTTTCTAGTGCTCCCTTCTCTTTTCCCGCTCATCTGCATGTCTGAGCTCCGAGCTCAGACCCCATTCCACTGGGGGGAAGGGGCTTGTCTGGCCACCCCCAGCCCAAAGGGTGGCCACAGCACAAGGGGAGGGGAAGAGGCGGGTGGGTTTCTCTCCCGGAGCCTCAGGGCGAGGCCAGCCACCCAGCAGGGGGCGCCAGAGGCCACCCAGGGGCGGGGGCAGGACAGGCTACGCACCCTGAGCATGGCCTCTTCCGCGGGGTAGATGGGGTCTGCCCTGGCCAGCATCTGAAGGAGCTCCCCGGCGTTCAGCGGCCTTTTGGGGAGCTGCAGGAGGCGCCTCTCACTCAGCACGGACTTCACCGCCTCAGCCATGCTGCCCTGGCTGTAGCCGTCTGACACTTTCGCCAGCGCACTGAGGTCCAGGGTGCTGGTGACGACCCCGCCGTGCCTCTCGACCAGCCGCTTCCACGTCACTGGGGAAAGGGGGGAAGGGGGTCTGTCAGGCCCCCTTCTGTCTCGCGGCCTCAGCCCCCGGTGCCTGGACTGATGCAGCGAGCGGAACTCCTTGATAGTTTCCTGCAATTTTTTTCTAGTATCCTATCTACCGCTTTGATGCTTCTTTAAACAAGCAAGCAGTGTATATATTTTACGAAATGTATAAACCGAAAACGGCTATGGGTGGCTTGGCTGAACTGTTCTGGAGGCTCTGACCAGAAGGATGCTGGAATCAGCAAGGGTGACCCACATAATAAATAATAATAATAATAATAATAATAATAATAATAATAATAATTTATTATTTGTACCCCACCCATCTGTCTGGGCCTCCCCAGCCACTCTAGGCGGCTTCCAACAAAGATTAAAAATACATTAAATAGTCACACATTGAAAACTTCCCTGACCTGAAGGGGCTGCTGTGCAATGACAGGTCCATGATTCCCAAGACCACGGCCACCCATGACTTGCATCCTCTACCCTCTGTCCTCCTTAGTGGGGTCCTTAAGCCCCATGAAAGATCCTGCTTGGGGGTCATTTTCCACCCCAAAGGTCAGTCAAGGCAGGAAGAAACAACATTCCAGCAGTTCAGGATTTGTTCCTGGAATTTAACACAGCTACTGCCTCCCGGAGACCGGCTGAGTGTTTGGATCCTTCCCAAAACGCACCCTGTGCCCCCACTCCAGCCCCAGCCCCTCTCCTCACCGTAGCGTGAGGCATAGTCTGGACGGTGGATGAGGAGGATCCTCTCATAGGTCTTGCAGAGGCCCTTGATGTCGGCCAGGTAGGGCTGGTTGGACGTTCCCATCAGGAGGACGCGGTCCTCAGCCTTCAGCAGGTTCAACGCCTTGGGCAGGTCCTTCTTCAGCCGCTTGGGGTCATGCTGTGGGGCAGCAGCCACCCCATCAGCCCCAGGCCAGGGAGAAAGATGGCAGTGAGCCTCTCCACCAGGGAAGCAGATAGGGGTGACCCCCAGCCAGCTTCAGCCTGCTTTTCTCCAGGTTATGGGACATCAAGGCTATTATTGCCAAGGCTGTTCTCCTCCCACCTCACTCACCTCCTTCTCCTCTTTGGGGACCTTCTTGTAAAAGGTCTTCTCTGTGTCCCCCACCCAGATGACGGATGGCTGCAGCAGACGGGCCACCTGCAGAACACGGGGCACAAAAAAGAGCTGTGGGCAGCTGCTGGAAAGTGACCCCCGCCTTTAGGACCAGAAGGTCTGCAAGGTGAGGCTGGGGGCGTGGGGTGGGGTTGGTGCAGCTGCTCCCAAACTACTGCTGCATCGCTCCATCTCCAGAGAGGAAGGCCACGGCAGAGCCCTGGGGCGCCACCAAAGCTCCGTTTAGAAGTTGACCAGATGGAGGAGGGTTGTGTGGGTCTTTGCTGCAGCCAAAAGCAACCATTTGTGTTTTGCTAGAGGGGCACATGAAGGGGCTGAGGCTCATCTTTTTGCAAACCCCTTTGAGGTGTGGGATGTATCATTCACTGAAGCAGTCAAACACAACATTTCCTGTTTCCTAGAGTGTAAAAGGTAAAGGTAAAGGGACCCCTGACCATTAGATCCAGTCGTGGCTGACTCTGGGGTTGCAGCGCTCATCTCGCTTTATTGGCTGAGGGAGCCGGTGTGCACCTTCTGGGTCATGTGGCCAGCATGACTAAGCCGCTTCTGGCGAACCAGAGCAGCGCATGGAAACGCCGTTTACCTTCCCGCCGGAGCGGTACCTATTTATCTACTTGCACTTTGACATGCTTTGGAACTGCTAAGTGGGCAGGAGCAGGGACCGAGCAACGGGAGCTCACCCCGTTGCGGGGATTCGAACCACCGACCTTCTGATCAGCAAGCCCTAGGCTCTGTGGTTTAACCCACAGCACCACCCGTGTCTTCCTAGAGTGTACACACAGGTAAATGTTGCTCCAGCCAGGAGGACTTCCTGTCACACCTGCTCTGGAGTATCCTCCCCGTGTGACCAGGTAGGTGGGCTTGACCCTGGGAGACCCTACAAAAGGGCCAGTCACGCAGCCATCTTCCTCTTTTGCTCTTTGCCTCTTTTGCTGCTCTTTTTCCATCTTCTGCTGGCTCTTAGCCACCAACACATGGCTCATCCTCACAGAGGATGGAAGCCACAAGGCTTAATTAATTCTCAGGCCCACCTCATACTTCTTTTCTCTACACATGTACCTGTAACTACAAGCTAAAGCCTGCCTTCAGGACAATACTGTGATCTGAATGCAAGTAAACTTTACGGTTACTTTTAAAAGAAGACTGTCGTGTCATTACAGTGGTACCTCTGGTTACAAACTTAATTCATCCTGGAGGTCCCTTCTTACCCTGAAATTGTTCTTAACCTTGTGGGATGTGAAACACAAGAGCAGTCAAGTACAACATTCCTAGAGTGAACACGTTTACACGTGGGGAGGAATGTTTGTCCAGCCAGCAGGTAAACTTCCTGTTTCCTTCTGGGCTGGGACAGGCTTCCTCTGCATGTGACTAGAGGTGGGCGTGGCCTCACCTGTGCAGGTAACGACAAAAGCACAGGGCAGGGCAGCCATCTCTCTCTCTCTGACTACCTGCATCGAAGAAGCAACATCTGCTTAGCCAAAGATGCTCTCTAGGCTTCCAGCCAAGAGAGGACAAAGGGACTGTCTCCTTATGAGATAGTTTCCAGGTGTGTGTTACTTTTCTAATCTAAGTCTGCCTTCTGGGATCCGATTGTGAACAGAATGTGAGTAAACTCTTTTAATACTTTTATAGAAGACTGTGTCGTGTCTTATCTTTTATGAGGGAATAAGGGGGAAATGCCAGAACAGTTATTATAGAGGCTTTAGTGAGCCTGAGCAAACGCATCCGCTGTGAGTTTAAAAAGGGGAATATTACTCTGCTAAATTGTGGAACTTCTTTACACAAATTGGAAAGGATATAATCAAACAATATATCCTCTCCTGCATCCCTGAAATTCCCACGAACCTGAGGTACCACTTTAGCTAATGGGGCCTCCCGCTGCCACTGCGCTGCCACCGCTCAATTTCTGTTCTCATCCTGAGGTAAACTTTTTAACCCAAGGTACTACTTCCCAGTTAGCGGAGTCTGTAACCCGAAGTGTTTGTAACCCAAGGTATCACTGTAATGTTTTTAAGAGGGAACTAAAGGGGAAATTAGTCATGCTGGCTGCATGACCCGGAAGCTGTACAGTGGTGCCTCGCAAGACGAAATTAATCCGTTCCGCGAGTCTCTTCGTCTTGCGGTTTTTTCGTCTTGCGAAGCACGGCTATTAGCGGCTTAGCGGCTATTAACGGCTTAGCGGCTTTAAGAAAAAGGAAACAAACTTGCAAGAACTCGCAAGACGTTTCGTCTCACGAAGCAAGCCCATAGGGAAATTCGTCTTGCGAAGCACCTCAAAAAACGGAAAACTCTTTCGTCTAGCGAGTTTTTCGTCTTGCGGGGCACCACTGTACACCAGCTCCCTCGGCCAATAAAGCGAGATGAGCACCGTAACCCCAGAGTCGTCCGTGACTGGACCTAATGGTCAGGGGTCCCTTTACCTTTACCTTAAAGGGGAAATTTACCAGGAACAATCCCATCTGGACAAGCCAGACTGGATTGCTCAACTTATATGATTCCAACGAATCCCTCAACTCGCTTCCTGCTATGTACAAGGGAATGTGCCCTGCTACTAGCTCATTAGCGTTGCGTGAGGAAGGATAATATTTAATCAATATATCCTCTCCTACTATCCACAACATTTCTACATGAGGTGTCTTTTTTTGAAAAAACAAACACCTATCAAGCAATGTATATGTTTTATGAGATAAATAAATAAATCTTCCTTGCTCCTCTTCTTCCTTCTAGCCAGCCCTATAGCGACCCTCGCCAGGTACAATGCCAGGATCCAGCGGAGGACTTTGGACTCTCAGATTTCCCCAGCACCCTATGCCCATAACCCATAATTTGATGACCCATTCCCATTCCCCTAAAACCGCCTCTGCTGGAGCTTGCCCCCTCCCTGCCAGGCCATACCTTGAACACCAGGTGGATCATCATCTGAAGGCCGGCCTTGCCTGGGTACTTCCCAACCAGGTTCCTTGGGGAGAGGTCAAAAAGGTTGGCGCCTGTTTCTGTGCACACGGCGTGGACCAGCATCTTCTTCCCAGTCCCCCCTGGACCGGCCAGGAGGAGGGACTTCACCAGGGGGGCCATCTCATGCACAGCCTGAGAGCCTGCGGGGGGAGGCGAGAAAGGGGGTCTCCACACCCAGAGAAAGAGGGCAGGACTGGAAGCAACACCCGGGGCACATTATGGGATGGGGGTCTGGCTGCAGCCCTACCCAGGCGCAGGACAGCATACAGGGCAATGTTCTGGCGCACGTCCAAAGTGGAGGGGATTGGCTCGATCTCCTGCTGGCGGAGGTAGGTGCCTAGGTAGCAGAAGTCACCTGGTGTGGAAAAGGGGAGGCGAGAGGAACAGGCCCTCAGCAAGTAACAACAACAACAACAACAACATATGCTGTGTACCCCACACATCTGACTAGGTTGTCCCAGCCACTCTGGGGGGCTTACAGCATATATAAAAGCATAGTAAAACAGTCATTAAAAACCTCCCTAAACAGGGCTGCCTTCAGATGTCTTCTAAAAGTCAGATAGTTGCTTATTTCCTTGACATCTGATGGGAGGGCGTTCCACAGGGTGGGTGCCACTACCGAGAAGGCCCTCTGCCTGGTTCCCTGTAACTTGGCTTCTCGCAGTGAGGGAACCGCCAGAAGGCCCTCGGTGCTGGACCTCAGCGTCCGGGCAGAATGATGGGGGTGGAGACACTTCTTCAGATCTACTGGGCCAAGGGCTTTCAAGGTCAACACAAACACTTTGAATTGTGCTTGGAAACGTCCTGGGAGCCAATGTAGGTCTTTCAGGACCGGTGTTATATGGTCTCAGCGGCTGCTCCCAGTCCCCAGTCCAGCTGCCGCATTCTGGATTGTCAGTCCCCTCCCTTCTCTGGCAGGCTGGTTTGGTGGGACATTTGTGGTCAGGCAAACAGGCCCCGCTATTCGCGTTGGTGGTGGTTGGACCCAGCAGCCCCCCAGGAGGTTCCTTCCAGCCCTACCACTCTATGGCAGATTGTGAGCAACGGTTGCAGATTGTGAGCAACGGTTCTCTGTACATGCCCAGTGGCACCATTCCATGGCTGAGGTGGAATAAAGGGGATTTTGCTCATATCCCCCCAGAGGGAGACCAGCTGAGGAAATGGCAGCAGAGCAAAGGAGAGGAGGAGGAGGAGGAGCTGCTCTGTTGTATCTTATGTCCAAGAGATGGTGTAATGGTTAGAGCAGGCATAGGCCAACTTGGCCCTCTAGATGTTTTGAGACTACAATTTTCATCATCCCTGACCACTGGTCCTGTTAGCTAGGGATGATGGGAGTTGTAGTCCCAAAACATCTGGAGGGCAGAGTTTGCCTATGCCTGGGTTAGAGTGTGGGACTAGGACCTGGGAGAGAGCAGGCTTCAAATCCCCCTCGGCCATGAAGCTCCCTGGGAGACCTTGGGCGGCTTGCTGCTTCTCGAACTAACCTACTTCACAGGGTTGTTGTTGTGGGAATGTTCAGGGATGCAGGAGAGGATATATGGTTTGATTATAGCCCTTCCAACTTGTGTTAACAAGTTTCACAATTTAGCAGAGTAACATTCCCCTTTTAAAACTCACAGCGGATGCATTTGCTCAGGCTCGCTGAAGCCTCTAGAATAACTGTTCTGGTGTTTTCCCCTTATTCCCTCATAAAAGATAAGACTTGACACAGGCTTCTATAAAAGTATAAAAAAAGTTTACTCACATTCTGTTCACAATTGGATCCCAGAAGACAGACTTAGCTTAGAAAAGTAACATATACAGTGGTACCTCGGGTTAAGTACCTAATTCGTTCCGGAGGTCCGTACTTAACCTGAAACTGTTCTTATCCTGAAGCACCACTTTAGCTAATGGGGCCTCCCGCTGTTGCCGCGCCACTGGAGCACGATTTCTGTTCTCATCCTGAAGCAAAGTTCTTAATCTTAGGTACTATTTCTGGGTTAGCGGAGTCTGTAACCTGAAGCATATGTAACCTGAAGCGTATGTAACCCAAGGTTCCACTGTACCTGGAAACTATCTCGTAAGGAGACAGTCCCTTTGTCCTCTCTTGGCTAAGCAGATGTTGCTTCTTCAATGCATGTAGTCAAGGAGAGAGAGATGGCTGCCCTGCCCTGTGCTTTTGTCGTTACCTGCACAGGTGAGGCCACGCCCACCTCTAGTCACATGTAGAGGAAGTCTGTCCCAGCCCAGAAGGAAACAGGAAGTTTACCTGCTGGCTGGACAAACATTCCTCCCCATGTGTGAACATGTTCACTCTAGGAATGGTGTACTTGACTGCTCTTGTGTTTCACATCCCACAGTTGTGAGGATTAAAGGCAGAGAGGGAGAACCATGGATGCCACCTTGAGTTCCGTGGAGAAATAAAGACAGGGTGGAAGGCAAGATGACTCACCTGTGTAATCGGCCAGATGCACCTTCTGTGGCTTCTTAATGATACCCTCGCGCACAAGCTCCTCATAGAGGGATTCGAGGGTCCTGTCTGGTGTCAGGTCCTTCTCCTTTTTCCCTTTCTTCCCCTTTTTCTGCTCCAAAAAAAAAAAAAAAAAGCAGAGAAAAGTCAGAAAGTTGTTCTGCAGCTCTGGGCAGGTGAATGGGGGGGAGAAGGACAGGCTCCTCCTTCATCCCCCCCCCAGGGGATGCTCCTTGGATAAAAGGCTTCTCTGCCCCCCATGCACTGACCTTGGCACTCTTCTTGGCCTTGGCCTTGACCGGCCTTGCTACTTCCTGGTCAATGGCCAGCTTGAGCTGCTGAAGCTCCTCTCGCATCAGCTCATCCACCTGAGCAGGGGAAGGGAGAGGAGGGGAAGGGGCCTCAGAAAAGGGCTGCAGGGGCCCAGCTTCTGTGGCCCCTGGAATTTTGAGGACAAGGGCCAGCCCCTCTACCTGGGCACCCACCTGCAGCCGAATCTCCTCCTCCACCTCCTTCCGCTTGTCCACCTTGATCAGGTCCTCCTGGTAGCGCTGCTCAAAGTTGATGGCCTCATCCTGGTCACTCCAGCAGCCTGGGGGGGCAGGCAGTGCTGATGTCCCCGTGCTGCCCACCCCCAGCCCTCGCTGCGCCCAGCAGCCCTGCCCAGCTTCCCATGATGGCTGCGGTCAGTGCCCGCTTGAGGACAGGAGGTCTGGGCCAGAAGGCACCGTGGAGGGAAGTCTGGGGCTCAGTGATGGGACTGCAGATTTGGAAGGGGCCCCTAAGTGTCATCTAGTCCAACCCCCAACAATGCAGGGGTCTTGTGATTGGCCCAACACCTAGCCATGTCTGGAGTGGGGTGCTCTGCCATCCTGGGCAGGGTGTGGAGCTCCTAGAGTGCCCACGATGCCCGCTTGTCCCCATGGGGTGGGCTCAGAGCCAGATTACAAATGGGCAGAGTAGGCACCAGCCTGTGGGGCCCTGCCTTTTAGGGGCCCCGAGACAAAGGATCAAAACAGATACTGTCTGTTTTGTGTAATCCAATTGTTGGTTGGTAAAATCAAGCGCGTATTTGGAGATAATTTGCAAGGGGGGCCCTGAGATGTTGACTGCCTAGGGGCCTCCACAAGGTTTAATCTGGCACTGTGTGGGCTCCTTCTCTCTCCCCCCCCCATGCAATGGACCCTACATTGACCCACTGCTGGCAGCTCTGCCTGTCAAAGTGGCCCAAGAGCCCCCTGCCTGCAACCCCTTCCCTCCCACACTGGGCTCCCCTCTGCCCTGCCTCACCTGTGTAGCGCAGGTAGCCCTGGTTGATGGTTGGCAGGAACTTGGAGGGGTGGAGCCGCAGGCCTTCGTCTTCCTCCTGAGGAGAACCTCAAACCCAGCATGTTAGCAGACCCCTAAGGTGTCCCCACCCCATCCCTGCACAGGTGGGCTGGGCTGTGGCCTCCCAGGGAGCAGATGGACTCCAAGAGTTCAGCCAGGGCAGGGAACCCCCCCCCCCACACACACACACTCCTCACCGCTTTCTTTTTCTCCTTCCCTTTTTCCTTCTCCTTCCCTTTCGCCTTCTCCCCTTTGTCTTTCTCCTCCTTCTTCTTCTCCTTCTTCTTGCTTTCTGCCTTCAGCTCTGCCAGCTCCAGCTCATTCTGCACCTGCGGGGGGAATACGTGTGACTCCAAGAGGAATGGACTTGGGGGGAGTGAGGGTATCTTAGGGGGGGGTGGCAGCCTCCAGGAGGCTCCTCCTTAAGGCAGAGGGGCACCTTAAGCCTCCTTAAGCCCCCTCCCCTCTTCAGCCCTTCCATCCAATACCTCTTCAGGGGTCTTCTGAGCAAAGAGGACAGTGCAGCCCCCCATCTGCTCATCAGGGTAGTCGGGGAAGGAGCCGACCAGGTCGCTGTGGGAGGCAGAATGGGGGGGGGGTGAGCATCAATGGTCTGCTGAGAGGAGCCAACCAGCTCGTCCCTTGCGGGAGGGGGGCTACCGCTGGGGAGATTAAGGACAGGTAAGAGATAGCCCTTATGGAACTACCAGCACCTATGGCCAGCAAATGGCCTTCTCCGTAGTGGCCCCCACCCTGTGGAACGCCCTCCCATCCACTGGCAAGGAGATGACTTTTAGAAGACATCTGAAGGCAGCACTGCACAGGGAAGCTTTTTAAGGTTTATGGTTTTATTGTTTTTTTGTATGTTCTGTTGCAGGAATTTATGTATAGGTGGGGGGGGATGCCCCTCCAACAGATATCATACACATGCAGCCCACTACCAAAATCAGCAGCATCACTTTTGTGATTTGTCCCCACAAAACACTTCATCACAGTTTCTTCCTATCTATCCAAAGGGCCTTTGCTGCACAATACCAAATGTAAGAATTCACTGATAAATGTATCTATGTACTGGCTCACTGGGAAAACTTCAGAAACTCAGGAAAAGAGAACAATCCTGAACTGTAAGATAACGCAACAGGAAATTGAAGGTGCCATTCAGAACATGCAACTAGGCAAGTCTCCAGGCCCTGATGGACTCACCTCCAAATATTATAAGACTTTGAAAGACTATCTGATACAACCTCTGATGGAGGTATGCAACCAGATTATGGAGGGAAAGAAGGCACCGGAGTCGTGGAAAGAAGCTTTCATCACATTGATTCCCAAAGTGGAAACTGAAAAGACTCAACTTAAGAACTACCGTCCCATCTCACTCCTAAATGTGGATTACAAAATTTTTGCAGACATTCTGGCAAGTAGACTTTAAAAAGTTTTGAATGAGGTAATTCACAAGGACCAGGCTGGCTTTCTCCCTGGTAGGCATTTGTTTGATAACACTCGGAACATTATTGATATTTTGGAACTTTTACAAACAAATATCAATACGAGAGCAGTGTTAATTTTTATTGATGCGGAGAAGGCCTTTGACAACATTTCTTGGATGTTTATGAAGAAGAACTTGGAAGGGATGGGAGTGGGTGGGACGGGGGTTTGAAAATGGTATAGAAGCAATTTATTCAGAGCAAAAAGCTAAATTGATAGTGAACAATGTAGTGACAGAGGAGTTCAAAATTGAAAAAGGGACACGACAGGGGTGCCCACTATCCCCTCTTTTATTTATTTCAGTCCTGGAGGTGCTTTTGAACATGATTAGGGAGGACCGGTTGGTACAAGGAATACAGGTCGGAGTGAAACAATATAAACTGAAAGCATTTGCAGATGACTTGGTTTTAACATTACAGGAGCCAGTATCTAGTACAAAAAGAGTTCTAGAACTGATTCATGAATTTGGTCGGGTGGCGGGATTCAAGCTGAACAAGCAAAAGACCAAGGTTCTGGCTAAAAACTTGACACCTACAGAAACAGAGGGGTTCCAGAAAGAAACAGAACTAAGTGTTGTTAAAAAAGTGAAATACCTAGGGGTTCATTTGACTGTTAAAAATTTGAATCTATTTAAAGACAATTATGAAAAATGTTGGTCGGAAATTAAGAAGGATTTGGAAATTTGGTCAAGATTGAAACTTTCCTTGTTGGGCAGAATTGCAGCTATAAAGATGAATGTATTGCCGAAAATGTTATTTTTGTTTCAGGCCCTACAGATCGTGGACAGAGTGGAATGTTTTGGAAAGTGGCAGAAGGATATATCTAAGTTTGTCTGGCAGGGCAAAAAGCCCCGAATAAAGTTTAAAATACTAACTGACTCGAAAGAAAGAGGGGGGTTTGCCCTGCCGGACCTGAGGTTGTACTATGAATCTGCAGCCTTCTGCTGGTTGAAGGATTGGTTTTTGTTGGAGAACACTGATGTCCTGGATCTGGAAGGGTTTGATAATGCTTTTGGTTGGCATGCATATTTGTGGTACGACAAGGTTAAAGTTCATAAACTATTTAAAAACCATATTGTCAGAAGAGCAATCTTTGCGGTCTGGTTGAAATATAAAGACTTATTGGAGGGTAAGACCCCGAGGTGGCTATCACCGGTAGAGGCCAAGGCTAGGAAAAGACTCAATATGGAGGCCTATTGGCCAAAATATTGGGAAATAATTGAAAAAACTGGAGACAATTGGAGGCTGCAGAGCCAAGACAAGTTAAAAAATAAGGTGCGGGATTGGTTACATTATGCTCAAATCCAAGAGGTGTTTAAAATGGATAAAAAAGTGGGTTTCCAAGTGGAAAAATCGAAACTAGAGACAGAATTGTTAGAACCAAAAACTAAGACACTATCGAAAATGTATAACTTGCTGCTTAAGTGGAATACACAGGATGAGACAGTTAAATCTGCCATGATAAAATGGGCACAGGATATTGGACATAACATTATGTTTGAAGACTGGGAAAGATTATGGAACACCGGTATGAAGTTTACGGCATGTAATGCCTTGAAAGAAAACATTATGAAAATGATATACCGGTGGTACATGACCCCAGTCAAGTTAGCTAAGATATACCATCTGTCTGATAATAAATGTTGGAAATGTAAGGAGGCAGAAGGGACATTCTTTCACCTTTGGTGGACCTGCCCAAAAGTGAAGGCCTACTGGGAAATGATTTACAATGAGCTAAAAAAGGTATTTAGGTATACCTTCCCTAAGAAACCAGAGGCCTTCCTATTGGGCATGGTGGACCAGAAGGTGTTAAAGAAGGACAGAACGTTGTTTATGTATGCTACTACAGCAGCAAGAATTCTTATTGCAAAGCACTGGAAGACTCAAGATCTACCCACGCTGGAGGAGTGGCAGACGCAGTTGATGGACTACATGGAACTGGCCGAAATGACTGGCAGAATCCGAGATCTGGGTGAGGAATCAATGGAAGAGGACTGGAAAAAATTTAAGGACTATTTGCAAAAACATTATAAGTTGTATGAATGTTAAGAAATATGCACGATTAGGAAATTTTTGCTTTAGCAACTTGTTTAGGTAAACTGAAAATTAAGACAAGAAAAAAGAGGTGGTAATATGAATCAACTTTATTATGTTAATTTTAAATGAACAAAGTTGGGATACGAGATTGTGAATTTGGGAACATAATAACTGAAAGATACAGTAAGTTAAGAAACAAGGTAACAAATTGCTGAAACTTTTATTGCAAAGAACGCAGAGTCTGGAGGATGTGGGGAAGTCCATTTGGAATACTGAAAAAATTATTGAAAGTTGGATTGAAATAACCTTTTTTTCTATTATCTTTCTTTGTATTTGTTTCTTGTACTTTCTTATTTTTATCTTGTGTATATGAACCTAAGAAAAGAAACTCAATAAAAATATTTTAAAAAAAAAAAAGGAAAACTTCAGAAATTCCTATAGACATGTGAGCTCAGCTCCTCAGCAGCCCCTCTGCCTGAGTGATAATCCCTGGCATCCTGATACCCGAGTGCCAGACAGGTAGCCATTCCAGAAATAACAAACCCAGATGAAGACAAAAGGGTGGGATTAACTTGGCTGGGAAAGAGGGAAATGTAAATGTCTCTTTTCTTACACTTGATGGGTGTTTGGTGGAGGGCAAGGGGAACCATGGGGCAGGGTCCAGGACGCCCAGATCCCTGCCACCAGACCTCCCCTTTCATGATATAACTGTGATGTCGTTGGGGGGGGGTGTAACATGGGGATTAGCATCTAATAAAAGTTTGGGTTCTCTTTTGTTCGGGGCTTCCATCTTTTTCCACCTGGTGGCAGGTGGAAGTCCTGTCGTGACAGTCTTCAATCAAGACCAAGCCTACTGGCTGCTGTTTTGTTCTGGTATTCCTGGCTGGTGTCCTCGTTTTTTGTCCAAGGGAGCCCTCAGATTTCTCCGTTAACAGTTGGAAGCTGCCCAGAGTGGCTGGAACAATCCAGTCAGAAGGGATTATTATTATTATTATTATTATTATTATTATTATTATTATTATTATTATGGATGGCTTTAAAAAAGGGTTAGATTAGAGAGCTAGAAATGGCTAGAGACTGCCTCTCCTGCTCATGTTTTGCTTGCGGGTTTCCACTGTTCCTACTGGCACTAACCGGCTCCTTGCAGCCTTGGACCCGAGGAGCCTCCCGCTGTTTCCCGGGGCCCCTCGAGGCTCTCCTGGGCCGCCCTGCCCTCCCTCTGCTGCTCACCGGCACTCGATGAACCACTGGCGCAGCTGGTCCTTGAGCGCCTCGCACATGCTGGGCCCCTCCACTTCGTAGATGGTGTCGCGGATGTTGTCGAGCGCCACTTGGTACTCGGCCTCGTAGTCCGCCTGGCGCATGCGGCGCAGCTCCTCGCCCAGCTGCGCCCGGATCATGGCCGGCGTGGGGCCCGCCAGCTCCGGCTCCAGCTCCTGCGCGGGGTGGGCAGTGAGCAGCTGGGGGGGGCGACCTTCCCTCTCCCCCCCCCCCAGCCCCACGCCGAGCCGGAGGGAGGGAGAGATACGACGGCACAGGCGAGGCCATTAGGCGAGATGGGAGGCGGGCGCCGAGCGCGGCCGTGTAAATTACCCCGTAATGAGTTTGTAATATGCGCGCGCGGCGCCTCCTTGCCCGGCAGCGGCCGCGGCGCCCAGGCACTTTCCCGCCTCATTGCCCCCCAAATGGATTTTAAATATCATTCCGAGGACACAATTATTTAAAACGCTGAACTAAACACTCGCTAATGGGGGGGAGGAGGCGGGAAGAGCCCCGGCGGAAACGGGACGGGGGAGGGACACGGAGAGACCCCCGCTTGGCGCAGGAGACGGACGCGCCTTGGGCTGCCCGGGCCGCGCCAGGGCGAGAAGCGCGGGGCTAGCAAGGCCGCGCGCCCTCCCTCCGTCCCTCCCCTCCTGCGCCAGGCCCGCGCCATCCCCGAGGCGGCCCTCGAAACCCTCCTGCGGTGCTTCGGCCAAGCCGCTCCCGGCGCAGGAGCCGAGCTGGCCCCGGCGGGAAGGGAAGGCGGTCCCAGTGGCGACCCCTCGTCCCGCCCCGTCGGGGCCGCGCCCTCCAAGCCGGCCGGCCGGACAGCGGTGCTTGGAGAAAGGGGCGGGAGGGCCGTAGCGCCAAGGGCAAGAGTCCGGCACCGGAGGCGGGGCGCGCGCTCACCATGCCAAGGAAGACCATCTCCATCTGCCGGGATAGTTTAATGAGTCGTCGCTGCACGCACCCTTTCCAGATCTGGAGGAAGAGGAAGAGGGACGTGAATCGGGACCCACCCGGGACTGCGCTCCGCACTGACCAAGGAGCTCATCCGCCCAGGCTCGTGGGGCGTGAGGTGGGGGGCAACCACGAGCCTATGAAAGCCCACTTCGAAGAACAACTCAGTTCAATGAGGCGCCCCCCAGTTTGACACTCGACTCCCCCAAGAGGACACCCGCCTCGCCATGGCTCAGCGCGCCATCGCGCCCAAAAAAGGCCCTCAAGGCGCCTTTCTACAATATGTTGGCGGGCGGAAAGCGGACGGCAAAGCTTTGGGACGAGGCGGGTTTGGGGGATCAACGCGCGTCCCTCGGCTACATTCATGACTTCGGCCTTCTGATTAAGCTGGTGTCAACATAACCACCACACCCCCGACGGCGCCAGCGCCTTGAGTCGCAGCTGGAGAGCGGCGGAGTAAGGCAGGAGAGGCTAGTCCTGTCTCTTTGCGCTGGGGAAGAGGGATGTCTGCGCCCCCTCGCCTCGAAAGACCACCCCGCCTCTCTCCAGGATCCGTCCTAGCCTCCAACCAGAACGGGCGTTCCTCGCCTTGTGGTCCTTGGGCAACAGCCCCCCCCCGCTCCTCCCTGGAGGCAATGCCCCCCCCTCACCTTCTGGATGGTGATGGCGGCCACGTCTCGGTTGGGCTCATAGAAGCCGCTCTCGCGCACCTTCCTCTCGCGCTCCTCGTCCCTCCGGATCTCCCACATGAAGCGCGCGCGCAGGCGGCCTTGGCGCATCCGCTCGGCCATCTGGATCAGCCGCACCGCCTCCTCCCGCGGCATGCTGGGCCGCGGAGGCTGGGGGAAGGGGGCAGCCCTTTTCAGACGGGGCCCCAGCGCCCGCCACGGGAAGCCCCAGCGCAGGGCGCCGTCGGACGCCGCTGGCCGCCACGCCGGGCTCCTCCGGGAACCGGAGGGCAAGGATCCCGGCCGGGCAGGGCGTGAGCGAGTGCAGAAAGCTCCAGCGGTCTGGGCCCTGCGCCAGGCGCCCCCCAGGAAAAACCTGCAGACCCGCCCTCCCCTCCTCCTCGGGTCCAAGTCCAGCCTGGCACCGGCAGCGCCAGGAGGAGCCCTTCGCCCGATCAGAGGCCCGTTCCCAGGGAGGGGGCACTCACGGCGGACCCCACTTGACTCTTGGTGGGCCCCATTTGATTCAGGAGCCCGGTCAACAGGTCCTGGCGGTCCTGGAGGATCTTGGCGCGCTCGTGGAGAAAGTACTTGGGAATGGGGACCTCCATGTCCGCCTGCAAAGAGGGGGGAGATGGGGGCGGGAGGGGGTTGGTGGCGCCCCTCTTCCGCGGAGTCCCAGGCTGGCTGGACCCTGGAGGTGGCTCGTCCAAACGCGCCCCACGTTGTGCAAACGCGGCCTGCGGTTTCGGTTACTTGATTTCTACCCTGCTTCTCGGCCGCTGAGGGTTAAAATGGCAACAGAGCCCCGAAAGAAGGCCACGAAACGCCGGGATACATATAAATGAGCAGCGTAAAAGCCGAATTAAAGCCAGCTTTAATCACTTTAAAAGCAGCTTACGGAAGATTTAAACGGCCTCGAGAAACAAGGCTTTTCCTGGCACAGAAATGGCATCAAGGTCAGCGCCACGCGGACTCCGCGGAGGGAGCGTCCCGCCGTCGGGGTGGGCTGCACGGAGCGGTCCCTTCGCCCTGTTGCCACCGGTGGCACAGCGCACGGCAGGAAGGGTCCCGAGCGGAGGCGACCAGCTCCCCTTAGCCAGCCTGCGCAAAGCGTCTCCCTGGATGCCACTGCGCTCGAGGCACCCCTTTCTCCCGCCACCCCTTATTGAGAAACCCCCCTCCTTTGGCCAGTAGCCCCGCCCAGACCACCTTCTCCCGCTCTTCCAGCCCTTCCCGGCCTAAACCACGAGGACCAGAACCTCGCCTGTTTGTCGCGAAAGGCAGCCTGAGATTCGCCCAGCCCTCGGGGGGCTCCTTCGAGGCTCTTCCTTTCAGGCCTAGTCTAGGAGAGGAGAGCAGGGGTCTTTCTTATGGGGCCCCTGGAAGGAGGGCAAGGACGAACACCCTCCCCCCCCCAACCCCACAGGATCTCTCCCCGCCGCACTCCGCCCCTCCGGCCCCCGCTGCCCGCCCGGGACTGACCGGCGTCAGCTTGAGCTCCTCCAGCACTTGGTCCATGTAGTGGTACTCGGACAGGTCCAGCTCCACCAGCTCCTGCTTGAGCTCCAGGATGCGGCCCAGCACGCCCTCCAGCAGAGGCCGCAGCACCAGGCGCTTCTGCGGCTGCACCATCTGGTCGTAGCAAACCTCGAGGCGCCGCGCCGTCTGAATGTAGCGCAGGTAGAGAGTGGCCACCGTGTGGAAGAAGACCGCCCGGTTCCGCTCCGGCTTCGTCGGCTGCGCCGGCAGCTCCTGCGCCAGAAGCTCCTTCAGGGCCACCCGGGACTCCTGCCACAGTTTCCCGAACGTGCTGCGGGAGGGAGGGAGGAAGAGCCGCGTCCCCAGTCCGCACCGCAGCCCGGGCGGCTCTGGGAAGGCCAGGAACGCGCAGCAAGGAGGTTGCCTTCCCTTGCTGAGGGGCCAGTGGCGGATTTACGTTTAAGCTAAACAAGCCATAGTTTAGGGCCTCACAAAAAATTAAAGGGGGAAAAACTGGATGTACATTTCCAAAATATAAGATGAAAAAACAAATAAAATAAAACCTACATCCAGCAACAGTGTTTTGTGTTGTGTAGGCTTCTATGATGTACGGAACGGGCCCCGCCTGCTAGCCTGCTCCCTCAAATATCAATTGTCTGCTCATTTCTGTATATAGCGTGCCTGCATTTTGCATGGACAGGTTGCACATATTCAACACACAAAAACAGCGACAATTTGTTGTTGACAAAGGACAGTTGGACATATAAAGGGCCCCATTACCTTCAGTAGCTTAGGGCCCCATCTAACATAAATCCGGCCCTGTGAGGGGCAAATTAGCCATGGAAGGGGCGGCCGCCGTCGAGAAAGGTGTTGGGCTGGCCGGCGGCAAGAGAATTGGAACCACCCAGCCCAGCCCTCGATGGAAGGGGCACCCCGACGCCCCTGGGCCAATGCAAAGGGCAGGAGGGAAGCCGTCCATGGCGAGATCAGATGATCATGGAATCATAGAACAGAAGGGCGGAACTGGAAAGGACCCCAAGGGCCATCTAGTCTAATCCCCCCATTGATGCATGAGTGATGGAGGGCCCCACTTCCCTCTCGAACAGGCAAAACCCGGGAATCAGATCTGACCACGGGGCGGGTGGATGTTCGGGCTCCTGAACACCAGACCCCTCTCCTTCCACGCGCCCCTGGCGCCCCCTCCCTCCTCCAGCCACCCCAGCCGCTGCTCCGTAGCCGGCCCCGGTGCTCCCGGCCCCCTTTGCAGATTTGCCAGCGCCGCTCAAGCCAGTTCTGGGCGCGCCCCGTAGCCTACAGGCAAGCGCGCGCCCCGGGAGAGTGGCTCCGAATACCCGCCTGCCCAGAGGGGCTTCCTCGGGGCAGCCCGGAGACGGCCGAGCGGAGGGCTCAGCGAGCGCGGCTCTTGCAAGTTACCCCCAAGAAGCCGCACCTGCTCGCCATGCTGCCCCCTCTGCCTCCCGGGCGCCGAGTTCCTCGCAGGTGAAAGGCGGGGAGGCCCCACCCCCGATTGTCCGGGCCAGTTCCCATAGAAACGAGGGAACAGGGAAGGGGCCGGCTGGCCCGCCTGCAGAAGAGCGCAGGGCCCACCTGGAAGGGGGGGGGTCACTCCCGGGACCAAAGGAGGCTCCAAGCAGCAGGGCTCCGTTTGGTACCTGCTTCTCCCAGATCCTTGGCACGTCCAAGGAGCTATTTGCTGCCCAGAGCCCCATCCCTTACTGGAGAGCCGTGAGAGCCAGCCCCTCCCTTGCCGCTGACGAAGGAGCCCCCGATGCTCCTGACCTTGGAGGAGATGCCGGGCGGGATTAATACTTTTGGAGTCCCTAAGCACTTAAAAGATTTTGGTGCCCCCATAAATATCTGGTTCAAAATATAAACAATAATCTGTGCAACACAATGTTATTTTTCGAAATAAAACCTACAGTAAGATGGAAAATAACATTTTAATCTGGTATACTTTCACTTCATTTGATAAATGTCCTTCTCCAATTGCAAAATCTTCGATCAGATCCTCAAGAACCTGCACACCTGACACAAAACTGCACAAAAGACTGTTCATGTAGGCGGCGGCTGCTGCAAGGATGGTTACCCAGAGTCAGAAGGATGATAAGATACCTACAAAAGCGGCCTGGCAGATGAAACTATGCAGAGATGGCAAGACTGACTGGGAAAACTTCAATAGAGAATGGGACAAATACAGACTGTATCTAAAAGACCACTGTAAACACTTGAACTCTTTGGCAGGCTTTAAATAACTCTTGCAATGTCACAAAGACTTTTGATATAAGGGAGGACTGTAATTTGGATGAATTTATAATATGCAGTTTACAAAGGTATTTAAAGAACTCGTGAAGGGGAGGAGGGAAGCCCTAAGATTTGGAAGAATCTTGTTATAATTTTAATATTTGCAAGAATTTGTGTGTGTGTGTGTGAATCAACTTGTAAAACCAAATAAAACTTTATTGAAAAAAACCACACAACTGCACATACACTATGCAAAAGAATGAAATATCATTCTCCCCCCTTCTTTCTACACCCAACCTTGCAATGCCTATGGCAGCAGTTGCACTCCAAATGTAAAGGTAAAGGTAAAGGGACCCCTGACTGTTAGATCTAGTCATGGCCGACTCTGGGGTTGCGGTGCTCATCTCGCTTTACTGGCAGAGGAAGCTGGCATACAGCTTCCGGGTCATGTGGCCAGCATGACTGAGCTGCTTCTGGCGAACCAGAGCAGCGCACAGAAACACCGTTTACCTTCCCACCGGAGCGGTACCTATTTATCTACTTGCACTTTGACGTGCTTTCGAGCTGTAACTGACCTGTAAAAAGGGCTCTATAATTTGAAAACATTCTATGTACCTTTGTTATCCATGAAAATCTTTCAATAAAAACGAACTTAAGACCAAAATGAACCTTGCATCACACATTTCTATACTTGGTAACAATAAGGCACCTGCCTTGTTGCAGTTGTTCTGTAGGGATTTTTAGAAGACTTCACCTGTCAATGCTCAGCTGAGCAATTTGTGACAATGCTAAAAATCGGGCAATGGGAAATTTATGTGGTGTCCCCTTGATACCCTAAGCAAGTGCTTATTTTGCTTAATGGTTAATCCAGCCTGAGGAGATGTCTGAGGGCAGCTGAGGAAAGGAGAGCAGCCATCTGCTCCCCAGCCAGGTTGGAGAGTTCAAGGGGCTTGCCTTCATTTCCAAAGCCCTGAGCAACTTAGTGCCATGGTGCCTCAGGGACCACCCCGGACCCTTATAATATCTCCGATGCTGCAGGAGCATCGTTGGCAAGACCCACTTGATGACAATGAGAAACCGGGCCTTCAGTGACACGGCCCAGTCCTATGGAACTCTCTGCCACTGGAAATTCTGGGCCAACTATTAAACGCCTGATGAAAACCTTTTCTATTCCCCCAGCTAAGAATACACTTATGTATGTTTTTGACGTTTTAAATGCCTTTTATTGTAGAGTTTTATTGCTGCAAACCACTACTTTTGATACTTTTTTTAAATGACAAAGCAGTATATATTTTTAATAAATAAATAAAGTGATTGAGGGCGGGCAACTGTGCCTTGGGCTGCAGGGGGTGGACAGACTTTTGCCTTGCCCAGTGAGGACCTCCCAAGGCGGGGAGAGCTTGCCGGCCCCCCCAGGAGGGGAGACCCTCTGGAAACAGGCCTTCCCTGCCCGCTTTGCTTCAGGCACCTATGGGCCAACCAGGGAGAGATCTTGGTAAGGCGGGGGGGGGGGGACATGAGGGCTGTGGGGCAACCCAGCTGTGAGTCTGCTGCCTGGGGGCCAGAGCCAACCAAAGATGGGATTGTGCCCCTTTCGGCTTTCCGCTTCAGGGAACATGTGACACAGCCTTTCCAGAAAAGGAAGTATAGAATGCGTGTTGGGTGGGAGAGATTCTGGCGGTGGCTTTGATCTTTTGGGAGGGGTCCCCCCCCCAAAAAAAGTGGGACGACATACTTCTCAGTAGCCTTGGTGGGCCCAGCATCCATTCTATGTGTCTCATCACCTGAAGAAGCCAGGGAAGGGAGACAGGCTTGTAGGGCAGTGTGGGAGAGTGGGTACAGCTCCACATGAGCTGAGGCTGGCAAGGGATGCTCAGAGCCACAAAGAGGAGCACTCAGTGCAGTTGGGCATTTCAGTATCACCTGGCCTCCCTCTTAGTCACTTTTGAGAAGGCACTCGCCACTCCCCTCAGACCCAAACATGAATAAGGAGAGCATTGCCACGGTTTAAGCCAACCCGACAGCCAGCCGAGATGTCAACTCTTGCTTTTACATTATTTTCCAGATGAGCTGAGGCACACAGAGCTTTCCTGCCCCTCCCATCGCCTCTGCGAGAAGAAAGCAGAACTATTGAAACACTTTTTCCTCTTTATTACTGGCTGATAAGTTCTCCAACAGGTCTGGTAATTACATCGATAAATAATAATTGCTAAAAACAAACGGAGGCCCAAGGAGTGAAGTCTGGAAATGAAAGCAGAGAGTCAGCCCTGCGGTGTCAGCCCAGACGCCCACCTCCCACTTGGTGCAGAGGGGTGGAGAAGTTCCCTCTGCAGGCAGGAGGAGGAGGAGGAAGAAGAAGAGGAGGAGGAGGAGAAGGGGTTGTCCAGCTGGGGGGAGCAGAGGGAAGGAGAGTGGAGAGGTGGTGGATGTGCAAGAGGAAGAAGCAGCAGCAGCAGCAGCAGCGGCAGGAGCTCAGGAACTGGAGAGAAGATTCGTTGTTGCCTGTTCCTTCCCCCTGGCAAGGCGGAGGAGCAGCAGGTGGGCTGGAGGCTGGCACCAGTCTCTGGGGGGAAGCGGCTCAGCTGACCCACTGGGCGGGCAGAGGGCCCTCAGGCACTGTGAGTCTTCTTTGCCATCTGCGGAGGCGGCTCCTCGCCCACCAGCTTGGACTTGAGGTGCTCCTTGTAGGAGAGGATGTCGCCCGGCCACTTGGCGATCGTCCGCTTCTCGCAGACCCAGATCTCTTGGGCCACCTGGAAGGAAGAGCAGGCGGCCTCTTGCGTCAGGGAAAGTGCGGGACCTCATCCGAGTCCAAAGCAACAATGTGTGTTTTGCCAGAGGGGCACGTGGAGGGGCTGAGGGTCACAGAGCTTTCCTGTAAAATTCGCTAGAGTGACCTCTGTGAGATCACTTCCTTTGCCTGCCGTGGCAGGAAGCGGTAACACAGCATCCTGCCTTCCTGCCTGGGCACCTTCCTCATGCCTCCAAGTCGAGCACACACTCTGCAACTCAGACACCATTTGGAACTTGCATTTTGTACTTTATAACTTAGACAGCAGTTATAAAACTGCCTTCATTTTGCTACTGTCATTGCTACTTCAAGACCTAAGTTACGTAAGTAAATACTCCTTTTACTTCTTCACCAAATGATGGGTGTGTGGTTGTTATTTGGGGAATAGTAATAATAGTTGTTGTTGTTATAACAACAACAATAATAATAACCGACCCATCTGGCTGGGTTGCCTCAGCCACTCTGGGCGGCTCCCAACAGGATATTAAAAACACAATAAAACATCAGACATTAAAAACTTCACTAAACCGGGCTGCCTTCAGATGTCTTCTAAAAGTCAGATACAGTGGTACCCGGGATGCGAATGGGATCCGTTCCAGAGCCCTGTTCACATCCTGAAGCGAACGCAACCCGTGTCTGCACATGCGCGGGTTGCGTTTCGCCGCTTCCACGCATGATGTCATTTTGACAGTCTGCGCATGCACGCACGGCAAAACCCAGAAGTAATGCGCTCCGTTACTTCTGGTTCTCCGCGGAGCGCAACCCGAAAATACTTAACTACATTTATCCCCAGGTATGACTGTAGTTGTTTATTTCCTTGACATCTGATGGGAGGGCATTCCACAGGGCGGGCGCCGCTACTGAGAAGTCCCTCTGGCACAACTGCAAATGTTGCTGAACTTCCTGCCCCCATCAGTCAGATTGATGGGAGAGTCCAGCAACATCTGGAGGGGGTAACGGGCCCCATAAACTCCTTCACTATGGAACCTTCCCCACCCAGCACCGGAACTCGTGGATTGCTTCATCCTCCTTGCAGGAGGGGAGGGCTCTTCCCACCCCCACCCCCAGCGTGGCAAGAGGCAGCCTTTGGCGCAGGTGAAGCAGAGGTCCCCAGTGCTGGGTCTGGGGCTGCCCCCTCCACTGACCTGCTGGATGAGCCGGAAGTCGTGGCTGACCAGCATCATGCCTCCCTCGAAGTCGTTGATGGCGTCTGCCAGAGCGTCGATGGTCTCGATGTCCAGGTGGTTGGTGGGCTCATCCAGGAAGAGCATGTGGGGGTTCTGCCAGGCCAGCCAAGCAAAGCAGACGCGGCACTTCTGCCCATCCGACAGGTTCCGGATGGGGCTCACCTGCCGGGCACGACCGTGTCAGAAGAGAAAGAGCCAAAGGGGCCCGTCCAGCCCAGGAGCCTGTTCTCATAGGGGCCACTCGAAGGGGAAACCCGCAAGCGAGGTCTGAGCTCAGGAGCAACGCTCCCCCTTCCTGCGCTGGTCTAAGCAGAGGGAGGGTCCCCAGCTCATGGGGGGGGGGGGAAGACCCACTTTGCACACAGAAACCCCCTAAATGCCAGCCCCGAAAGGCACCTTCACTTGAAAGACTCAGAACTGGACCCAGGACTCTGGCGCAGTTTCAGGTTCTCAACATCTTGACAGCAATAGCTGTTTCCTCGGAGGCTTTTAAGCAGAGGTTGGGTGGCCATCTGTCAGGGACGCTTGAGCTGAGATTCCTGCGTTTGGACCTTGCTGTTCTATGATCTCACCCTGCCTGCCTCGGATTCCCCAGGGCTGCCCCCTGGTCTCCTGTGTCCTGCCAGGGCTGCCCCTCAGAGTCTGCTCCCCACCCCCCGCCCCACAGCAGCCACCCCAGGCCTGGGGCTCCTTCCTTCTTCCCCCAGGCCAGACCCACCTGCTGCTTCCCCGTCAGCCCATAGCGCCCGATGATCTTCCTCATCTCCTCCTTCTCCTTGATCTCGGGGTAGCACTTCATCATGTACTCCAGCGGGGAGAGGTCCAGGTCCAGCTGCTCTTGCAAGTGCTGAGGAGGCCGAGGGGTGGGGAGGGGAGAGGGAGGACGTGAGGGGAGGGGGGCACACTGCTGCTCCCCATTTTGCCCCCCACAACATCCCTCTGAGGTAGGCTAGGCCGAGAGGCAGGGACTGGCCCCCAAAGTCACACCCAGCAAAAGCCTTCACGCCGGGTGGAGATTCGAACTCAAGCCCTAGGGCAACGCTGTAGCCACTAGGCCTCACTGGCTCTCTGCATCCACAGGGAACTAGCAGGGCCCCCCCCTTCCAGGTCCTTAGCAGTGCCCTGGGAAGGAGCCAGAAACCCCCCAAATAAACAGCACCTGGTGGTATCTGCCGATCTTGACGTGAGAGTGTTTGCGGATCATGCCGTCGCTGGGCAGCAGCTGGAGGGAAAGGACAAGCCGGTCAGAGACTCCAGCAGAGGAAAAAAGGCCATTTCTAACCACCACCACCCCCTGCAAAAAACAAGCCACAGGGGCCAGGTCCTCACCTCCCCTGTGAGGAGCTTGAGCAGCGTGCTTTTCCCAGCCCCGTTGGGCCCCACAAGGGCCACGCGAGTGTCCAGGTCGATGCCAAACTCCAGATTGTTGTAGATCCAGGGCTGAAGGGGAGAGACAGAGAGGGAGGTGGAGAAATAAGTTTCCTAACTTTATTTCTAACGTTTTAAGTTATATGACTTGTCTGCTCAGTTCAATCACCTTGCATGATATTTTAAATATACTGCGGCTTGCTGTTTTTTCTGAACGATTATAGAGTAGTAATGATTCATTGAGTGTGGATTTTAGTTTAATTACTGTTTGCTGATATTCTGAGAATTAATCTTATTGTGCACTATTATATTGTAATGTATTACTAAATAATACTTTACTTGTTATCAACTGCTTATTTCAAAGTCAGATTTTTGTGTGTGTTTTTTTGCCCTGGATTGGACTGTTACTTGATACATACTTGATAACGTAAGTGTTACGATATTCCGTTCCACCTTAACAGACGTGTGGAATTGTTGCATGTCACACGTCTGTTTACACTCCAGCACAGCTTGCTGGGAACTTCCGTTTGCGTGTATAGCTTTTGCTTATGCTGCTTGCTTGGACACGAAAGGGAGAAGACATGTTTTTCCTTTTGTCCTGATGTACGCTGATTACACTGCCTGTAAATATGCTCTTCCCAGCCGTCTCCTGCCACTTTTGTGGCGTAGTGTTTACTTTGGGCTGATTAGAGCGTGCTCCAGCTTCTGAAGGCTTCTGAAGCTGTGGGTCACTGTTTCATGCTGCACCAAGGACTGGAGTTCGACCGGCACATCGGCCGCTGAGCTGGAGTCAGCTGGGGGCTTGCCAACTGCCCCCGATTCCTTAGCAGCATCACAACAATAAGAGCCTGGTGGACCAGGCCTGTGGCCCATCTAGTCCTCTTCCCACAGTGGCCAACCAGATAACTCTTTGGGAAACCCAGAAGGAGGATCCGAGTGCAAGAGCAGCTCTCCTGTCCTCTGGTTTCCAGCAACTGGGATTCAGAAGCACTTACTGCCTCCGACTGCAGAGGCCAAGCAGAGCCATCCTGGCTAGGAGTCACCAATTCTTCTACATGGCTTTGCCTAATCCCCTTTTGAAGCCACCTAGTTTGGCTCCTGCGGGAAGGAGTTCCACAGTTGAACCCTCTGCCGCAGGAAAGACTTCCTTCCATTTCCCTTCCATCTTCCCACGTTCAGCTTCATTGGACGTCTCCGTGTTAGGAGAGAGGGAGGAAAGCTTTTCCCTACCCCCTTTCCTCTATGCCAGGAATAATTTTATAAGCCTTGATCCTGCGGCCTCTTCCTGGCCTTCTCTCTCATTTGTACATTTTGCTGCTTCTTCAGCTTGTGAGCCGCCTTGTGTGTCACAGTACAGATAGGCGGTGTACGAATTAAGAGTGAAATGAAATTCCGATATTGACAGCCCCCGGCCCCTCCACTCACCCCATCCTGGCTGTATCTGAAGCTGACGTTCTGCACCATGATGACAGGAGGTGGGATCTTCCCGCACGAGGGGAAGTAGAAGGAGAGGGTCTGGGGAAGAAGAGGGAAACAAAGGGGGGGGGTCCAGGTCAGCAACCCTTGGTTTCTCAATTTTTTTATTACATTTTTATTAGGAATTTAAACAAAACATATTATCTTAATTCCCCATTTTCCCCCTCCCCCCCCATAAAACACCCCCCTTCCCTGGCTTCCCTCAGTTCCAATCCCTGGTTTCCTTAATTTGTCTAACTGGTTGTTATCAATAAAAAGTTTGTGAGTGTTTATTCAAAACCTGCCAAGGAGTCCAATTCACTTTGCTGGATCTTTAAGTACTTTGTAAAAGGTTCCCATTCATCGTTATCCTTGTCCCGTAGTTTATGTGTCAATTTTGCCAGTTCTGCATAGTCCATCAATTTCTCTTGCCATACTTCTTTAGTTTTCCATCCTTGTGCTATTAAGACTCTCGCCGCCATTGTTGCGTACATAAAAATGTTTTTCTTTGGCAGGTCTTTCCCTACTATCCCTAACAAAAATGCTTCAGGTTTTTTAACAAATATTTTAAAAAATATTTCAGGGGCCATGCTAATCTTCTCTGTATTGTTCCAATTTTAGTATATGCACTGCTGAAGCAAGCACAGCAAACTTGGTTTCTTCTCCCTGCAGCACCCCAGGCCAGGAGCCGCTGCCACCTTCTCCCCTCCCAGGCCGGCTAGCGCCTGGGAAGGAAACAGACCCGCCCAGGGGGGTCCTGGGTAGCTGGTCAGAGAACCACAGAAGTAGAGAGTTGGAAGGGACCCAAGGGTCATCCAGACCAACCCGCTGCATTGATTACAGGACCTGAAGTCCTGGTCTTCTAGCTACCCCCCCATCCCTGTACAAGAGCCCCAGGACAGGCAGCTGAGTTGCCCCTGCCCCCCGGCTCAGCCCCTTCAGCCCCCACTTGTGGGGGCACAGGCTGACCATCTCCCCACCTCACCTTGTCGTTGATCACCCGTTCGGTCAGCCCTGAGGCCATCATCTTCTGGAGGGTCTTCTCTTTGCTCTGCGCCTGGCGGGCCAGCTTGGCGCTGCCGTGACCAAAGCGGGCGATGTAGTTCTGCAACGATTCAGAGGTCAGCGGTGGGCACAGAGGCAAGGGCACAGGGAGCAGGGAAAGGAGGGGAATAAATCTGGACTCAGACTGGGGAATAAATCTGAAGACTTAGAAGAGGTCTCCTTTGAAGCCGGCCCACCAAGAATTCTAGAGTCAGAAGGACCCACCTGCCAAAATGCCCATCATGGTGGGGTTGGCCAGATCCTGTCCCCCACCCCTGGCCAACAACACCCCTGGCTCCATATAGCTCAGCACCAACCAGCAACAGCACCCCAGATTTTTTTTTTGGGGGGGGAAGGGGAGCACAAGAGCAATTAACATTCTATGGCTTTTAAAATATGCTTGTTTCATACTGTATATTATACCCTCATTTTGTATTTTTCTGTTGTGGATCGCCCTGGGGTGTTCAGCTGAAGAGCAGCATTCGAATTCAGTACATAGGTAAACGTAAATAAACTCTCCCCTCTCCTGTGATGCCCAGCAACTGCCTCCCACTGCGGAGGGCAGGGCAGAGCCCCCGTGGATGGTGGCCTTCAAGAGTCCTTTTGGGATGTCTACCTTCATGTGGGCAATCTGATCCTGCTCCCAGTGGAAGCGCTTCATTTGGTTCTCCTCCAGCTCCAGGCGGGTCTTCACATACTGGTCGTAGTTACCCTGGAGGAGGAGAGAGGGATATCCCCGTTGGCCTGGGGCTCATCCTGCAGCCCTCCAGGCCCAGCCACCACAGCCAGGGGGCAGGCACACAAAAGAGGACCCACCACCCTTGGTTCTGGAAGCAGGGCCAGTCTCTTTCAGGAGGCGGCAGCAAGCCTCACCGCCCAGCGCCTGGCCCCGATTCCTGCTCACCGTGTAATACTTGAGCTTGCGGTTGTGCATGTGGATGATGTTGGTGCAGACGCCGTTCAGGAAGTCCTGAGAATGGGAGATGAGCACCAGGATGCGCTTGAAACTGCAGAAGCAGAGCCAGAAGTGTGAGAAAAGATGTGCGCAGCCTGGGAGTCATGTTGGACTCGCAGCTGTCCATGGGGGCGCAGGTCCATTCTGTGTCCAGGGCAGCTGTCTACCAGCTCCATCTGGTACGCAGGATGAGACCCTACCTGCCCACAGACTGTCTGGCCAGAGTGGTGCATGCTCTAGTTATCTCCCACTTGGACTACTGCAATGCGCTCTACATGGGGCTACCTTTGAAGGTGACCTGGAAACTACAACTAATCCAGAATGCGGCAGCCAGACTGGGGACTGGAGTAGCCACCGAGACAACCTAACACTGGTCCTGAAAATACACTTCCGAGCACAATTCAAAGTGTTGGTGCTGACCTCTAAAACCCTAAACGGCCTCAAAGGCCCAGTGGACCTGAAGGAGCGTCTCCGTCCCCATCGTTCAGCCCAGACACTGAGGTCCAGCTCCGAGGGCCTTCTGGCGGTTCACTCGCTGCGAGAAGCCAAGTTACAGGGAACCAGCAGAGAGCCTTCTCGGTGGTGGCACCCGCCCTGTGGAACGCCCTCCCACCAGATGTCAAGGAAATAAACAACTGACTTTTAGAAGACATCTGAAGGTAGCCCTCCTGTATCAGGAGGCTTTTAATGCTTGTTGTTTTTAGATATGCCGTAAGCTGCCCAGAGTAGCTGGGGAAACCCAGTCAGATGGGTGGGGTATAGATAATAAAAATATTATTAGCAGCAGCAGTAGTAGTATTACTACTATTACTATTAATATTCCCTCTCTCATAACTCTTCAACCAACGGACATTCCATGGAGCTGAACCTTGGAATATCCAGGACAGATAAAACCAACTGGGCTTTGTTAAACTGTGGAACTCCCTCCTGCAGGCGGCCACCAACCTGGATGGCTTTAAAAGAAGATTAGACAAATTCATGGAGCAGGAGAAGGCTATGGAGGTCTGCTAGCCAGGCTGGCTCTGCCCTGCCTGCACACCTGGAAGCAGCGATGCTTCTAATAGCAGGAGGAGAGAGTGGCTCTGGGGCTCAAGTCCTGCGTGGGGGCTTCTGGTGGGTCGCTGGCCTAATCCAGCAGCCAGGCTCTTCTTATGGAACCTCCAGGTCCAGAGGCAGTCTATCTGGATCCCTCGTTTCCCACGGGCATTTGGAAGAGGATGCTGGAGTAGGTGGGCCCCCTTTGGCCTGACCCCTCGGAAAGGGGAGTTGGAAGGGGAAGCCGAGCTCAATGGGGCAGGGGGTGGGGTGTGAGGGGCCTGCACTCACGTCTTCAGCTCCTCCTCCAGCCACACGCAGGCGTCCAGGTCCAGGTGGTTGGTGGGCTCGTCCAGCAGCAGCATGAAGGGCCGGATGAAGAGCGCCCTGCGAGGGGGAGAGAGAGAAGGGGAGGCTGGTGTGAGGGAGCCTGCCCAGCCGCAGAGGAGCCCACCCCGTCCGCCCAGCACCCACCTGGCGAGGGCCACCCGCATCCGCCAGCCGCCGCTAAAGTCCTTCAGCTTCTTCCTCTGCATGAGGGGGGTGAAGCCCAGGCCGTGCAGGATCCGCGACGCCCGCATCTCCGCCTTGTCAGCGTCCAGCTCCTCCAGCCGCTCGTACAGCTCCATCAGCTTCTCACACTCAGCTGGGGGGGGGGGAGAGAGAAAGCAGGTGAGCCCACCTGGCTCTGGGCCCCTGCGCTGCTGCTGCTGCAGTGGGAGATGTGTGTCCGCTCCCCCCCCCCGATTTGCTCCACTGGGGGGCCTGCGGTTTTAGGGCGCTGGACCAATTTAAGAGCCGTTACCGTCCTCGTGCGCCAGCCGCTCTGCTTCCCGCTCCAGCATGGCTCTTTCCGTGTCCACCTCCATCACGCACTGCAGGGGCGTCTTCTCGCTGGGGGGCATCTCGCGGGTCAAGTGGTAGATGTCGATGTGCTCGGGGATGGGCACCTCCCGCTTCCCGATGGCCGACAGCAGCATGGACTTCCCTGGGGAAGGGAGGCAAGCAGAGGGCCCCAGTGAACCCCAGGGGGACCTTCCAAGGGCGAGAGCCACTCGATGGTGGGACAGACTCCCTCAGAAGTGGAAGGGGAGGGATCTGTTTCCCTGGAGTTTTGCAATCAGGAGTCGGAGTGTCAGGGGTGAACATGAACATGAAATTTATTACGGTCAGAGACCAGCTTGACAAACGCAAATGGAACTACAATCCCAATAGCAAAACAAACATTTAGAACAATATACAACAATGGATTTTAAGTTTAAAAGTGTGATAGGCATATAAACACATAAAAAGTTTAAAATAGGCTACCTTAGAGAAATGACCCAGGGGTGCTTTTGCTGCGATACCTGCCTTATAGGGGGTTGGGCGATCCTCGGGGTCCCTTCCAGGATTCCAAGACCCCTCTGGTCATCTCTAGCAATGCAGACGTCTCCCAAGGGAGCCACAAGCCATTTGCCTACCCCACCCCCGTTGTTAGCCATGCCCTCTTCCTGCTCCTGCCGCCCCGCCCTTGGCCTCACCGGTGCCATTCAGGCCAATGAGGCCGTAGCGCCGCCCCGAGTTGAGCTCCAGCCTGGTGTCGCTCAGCAGCTCCTGTCCGTGGAAGGTGAGGGAGAGGTTGATGATGTGGACGTCGGTGCTGTTGGGGTGCGAGGCGAGGACCCCCGTCACGGCGCGGGCGGCCGCCTTCTTCAGCTCAAAGTCCTCAATGGCCTTGGAGATGGTGTCCACATCTGGAGGGGGAATCACAGCCCCATGAGAACCAAGGGCTCCTCTGGGGGGGGGGGAGAACTGGGCGCCCTCCCCCCCAGTGCCAAGCCCCTTCCTTTCACAGGAGAGAGATAAGGAGAGCGGCCTTCTGGAATGACACACAGCGGTTCTCCACCTGTGGGTCCCCAGATGTTGTTGGACTACAACTCCCATCATCCCTGAGCTCTGGCCTTGCTAGCTGGGGTGATGGGAGTTGTAGTCCAACAAAATCTGGGGACCCACAGGTGGAGAAAGGCTGGCTTACAGGGTGTGTGACATATGCAGAAAGAGGGGGGTGACCCCACCCAGAAAAAGGACTCGGAGAGATAAAAACCCGGAGAGGGCAACACCCCCCCGTGGCTCCTAACTGAGGACTGGAGCTTTGCTTGAGAGAAGGTGATGAATCCTCCCGGTGGGGGAGCCCCCTTAAGGGCAGTTTCGTGCCCCACACGCCGGCCCACGTGCCGGAGAAGGGGGGAGAGGGAGGAGCGGCCCTTCCGGGATCCTCACCCGGCTCGGCCCGGCGGAAGAGGGCGGCTCCTCACTGAGGACTGGAGCCTTGCTTGAGAGGAGGAGCTGAATCGCCCCGATGGGGGGGGGCCTGCCCCACATGCGAGAGAAGGGGGGAGCCGGCGAGAGGAAGGAGCGGCTCTTCCGGGCAGGAAAAGGACTGGCGAGGGGGAAAGGGCGGAAGAGGGCGGCTCCTCACTGAGGACTGGAGCCTTGCTTGAGAGGAGGAGCCGAATCACCCCGATGGGGGGTCCCCCTGCCCCACATGCGAGAGGAAGGAGCGCCTCTTCCGGGTGGCCTCCCCTGGCGAGGGGGGAAAGGGCGGAAGAGGGCAGCGACCTCCCCGCGGC